TATCTATTTGTATTGATGCTGTCATACTTTGACGCGATTCGTGATTTTGTTCATATTCAACAAAGCCACTAAATTAAGAAAGATTGAGAATAAATAATTAGAATACACACCAATATTTATACAGAATTTTAATTTTTTTAAAAAAAACATTACTATGTAACAAAAATTAGAAGAATAAATAACGAATTTATTCAGTATCAGATTATGCTGGGTAAAGAGGATAAATTACTTCAATAAAGAAAAACACTCATTTTCTAAATATTTCATATAATAAATTAAAAAATGTATGTAATATACTAATATATAGATATATTGATGGAAGAGACAAAAAAAAGTTAGTACCTATAAAAATCAATTAGGAAAATGCCAATCTAATCCTACAAGTGTAGAAAAAGATTAAAGGAATTGCAAGTATTTAAGTATAGAAATAATTTAACTTTTAACAAAATAAAACAAAATAATAACTCAGTTTAAAATTATATGACAGTAATTCATATGAATCAAATGAGTTTTTAGGTAAAAATATTGATAACATTACTTAAGCTAATAATCATGTGATACACAAAAGTGAAAATTCAAATATTAACTGCCACTTAAATAACTCTTTGTTTATTGTACCTATAATAAAAGAATACATGATGAAAAAAAAAACATAAGTATTTTAAAAATTCTTATTATAAAATGGTATTACTAACTATATTGGTACTTAAAAAGACCAGGAATAGTATTTTCTTCTTTTTGTTATTATAAATTATATATTATCAGTTTATCTACAGGAAAATAACCATTGTAAAAAACGATTTTACCTTAAAAATTTGTTAAAATTATACAAATTATTGATGAATCCAGCAATCCTCAAAAAGTGAATGGATACCATAGGAAAACATACATGCATCTATTTTCTTTTTTATATACATAAATGGACAGCTCAATATTAATATCAATGCTAAGATAATTATAATTAATACTACTGCATTATAATACTAATATTGTTTAATTTATTTTTATTGTAATTTTATAATTCTCCAAATGTCTGTTGTTTTTGTTTTCATTTTTTAAATTGTTCAAGACATTTGTCTGTTAAATTTATTATAAATAAATAATTTGATAAGCTATAAATATTTTATGCAATCAACAATTTAATATCAATATTTGAAAAACAACTGAGAGTTATCTATATTTCATACGCACAATCAGTAATTTCATCAAAAATTGAGATAAGGGGCAGAAATTATGAGATTCATTTAAATTACATAAGTAAAATTAATCATGAATAGGACTAAAAAATGTTTAATATATAATTTTAATAACTTATTAAATATGTCGTTATGAGTGTTGTTATTAGTTTTCAAGCATAGAAAATATTCACCAAAATGTATTCATTGTTGTTTCGGAGTAGAGAAAAATAAATACTTATACCAAAAATAATTATTATTTTGGTCGTTATTTTGGAAATAAAAACTGCTTAAATCACATAATAAAGGTAGTAAAAACCTAGAAGTATAAATAAATATATCATTCCACAAACATAATATTTTTTAAGTTAGGTATTAAGGATAATCTATTCACTGCTTTATCAATAAGCCCATTACAGTTTTTTTATATGAACAAGTGATTATGTAAATTTATCATTGCTCGTGCATTTACCAGATTTTAAATTTAGTATAGTTGTTACCTATTTTATATGTTTATACTTTTAGTTAATTTTTATGAAGTTGTACATAAAAACATAAAATTATATTTCCTATTATAATTTACATAATTTATCAGTTATATATCAATATCTAGTTTAAGAATTCAATACCTTCAATACAATTATTTACTTAAAAAAGATGAGCAAATAATTGTATTTTTATAAAAAAAAAATAACTGGTAGTTCATATATGACCATTCTTTGTTTAATTATAATTTATAAAATATTTAAATATATCATTAAGTAACTTTAGCAATTAACTGTGATTTTTTATGAAGTTCCATAATACCTAATAAAATATGTAATAGTTGGAAGGTGAATCTTCTTGGCATAGCATCAAAATAATAAATGTAAAGCAATATGCATTTTTAAGTGGCACCATAAAAATGAGTTTAAAGACCAAAATAATACTGTTGTAACTTTACATGTATATTTCATACAATAATTATTATAAATTATAGCAACAAACAATAGGATAATAAAGCTATATGCATAGATATTTTAAACATAAATAAGAAAATGAGTCATACAAAGTTAACATTTTACAACATTGATATTCCATTGACTATATAATTAAAATCACACTTTTTAAAACAATAAATTATATTTTAATAAATTAACTAATACAAAAAAAAAATAAAATATATAAGACAAGTAATGGTGGAAAAGATGGATTTGTATTGCATTGCTAAAATCCTGATAGTCTATCATCCCTGAGCAAACAATGCCAGGCGGTTACAGGGACTGAAACTAACCAAGACTACATATTTTCATTTCAATTATTTTGTATCTATTTTACAAGATATTTTATTTAAATTTGTTCATTTTGATCTAAACTATATTAATATTATTATTTATACTGAATTCATAATATGAAAAATATAAGATTATCAAATTGATTAATTAAAATTTGAATAGGTTATTCTATTAATCATGTTATATTAACATTTTCAAGATTATTTATTTTGAGAATAATATCTCAAAGGGCAAAACAGTAGTGTGATTATAGGTAACACATATAATAGTTGATATAAATATAGTTCTTAGGTACAAGCAAAAACGAGTGTAAAGATTATTTATGAGGTGGAAAATTTGGTTAACTTAGATAATAGTACTTTTTATTATAACTTATTTATTTACTATTTGGGATTTTAGCAATGGGGTTTGAACCCCCAAACCCCCCTTACCTATGTTACTAGATACAAAAAAGACATGATAAAAAAACTTGATAAATTACAAATTAAATAATATATAATGACTCATTCCTTAACATGGCTAAACTATCCTAATGAAAATTATACTTCTGTTAAGATTTGCATAAAAGTAGCATACGGTTGACTGGAGAGTAATGACTGTAATTTTTCCGCTGCAAATAATAAAGAAGGTGATCTTAGATTTATAGATGGAACATTTAAGTATATATTAATTAAGATTTCTGGACAATCTATTTTAATACTCTGTAAATCATAAGTCCATTTTTTATCATAATATTTTTTTCTATCAGAAAAATAAGTCATACCACAGTCATTAAATAGCTAGCTGATTAGAAGAACAGTTATATTTATTAAGCTTGAAATAAAACATATTAAGAAATCTTTACTGAATTAACTATAATTTGTTGATTTTTGCTACAAAAAACGTTTACAAAACGAAGATGCTTAAACAATTGCTTCTTCTGATTAATGACAATATTGAAATCTAAGCTAGTTTCAATTAGATATAAACTAACATTATATAAAGTAATGATAGGCCTGATAGCGTTGTATGCACGTGAAACTTACCCCACAACCAAAACCTGGCATGATTTGAGAGAAAGGTGTTAAGACAAATTTTTGACCCCAGAAGAAACCAAAACACGGGAGAATATGAACGAAAAGAGAATGAAGAAGTAATAAGCATATTAGAGGATCCAGATATAGTAGCTACTATAATAAATAAAAAGATAAGCTGGGCAGGGCATGTATGACAAGGTCGAGAATAGAAAATCAGTCACGTCACCTGCTGGAAACCGAAGAGGAAAAGACCACTCGGTCGTCCAAGACAAAGGTGGATAGACAAGGTCCATAAAAACTTGGATATGCTGGGAATCCTAAACGGTGAAGAGCTAGCCATGGATAGAGACAGATGGAGGGAAGCGATGGTTGCGACGAAGGACCTGAATGGTCTATATTAAGCCATTAAAAATAAATAAATACAATATACAAACAATATAACAATATATTAAACTTGTAAGTAAAAATTAAAAAAAATCATTAATGGAACAATTATAAAGAATAATTAAATTTAATAAAAAAAGTCAGTTAAAGCCCAAGTAGGTTTTAGGACTGACATATAAAACATTTTTATCAACAAACAAATGTTAACAATAACATTAGTTTTGAAATAATAAAATCAATTATAAAGTTTGCAAATTTTTCATTCAAGAGATGAAGATAATATTATATTATATATATATACTATAATAATATAGTTTAATTTATTTAAGATACCAAAACAATAAGGGTTTCAATAGATTTTTAGCTAATTAATAAAGTATTAATTTTCTCATTTGTACCATGACCAAAAACAGTTATTCATAAAATTACATTTTAAATGTATTCAACTAATCTTAGAACAATTTTTTTATGCCTTTAAGTAAAATACTTCAAGACAAATAAAGATTAATACTATTCTGGAATTATACCTAGTGCAAAATATTGTCTTTAATGTGGTATCATTCATTTTTTAAATTATCTATTTAAGAATATCCCATGTTATTCTTCTATCAGTTCAACAGCTTGGTGCACTTATCAACAAACATAATACATATAAGAAAACCTCCTCAAAATAAATGACAAATTTTAAACTTCTTCAATAACCCCATCTTTTTACAATCAAGAATCAATACTTTCAAAACATATCTACCAGACCTAAATCACTGTTCATTATTAGTTGCACAATCATCGAACCTAAGAGATTTTGTGTTTTACACTACCATCAATAATATATTAATTAATAATTTTTCTTAAACAGTTCATAATCTCAAATATATTTAATACAAACACTACATTTCCCTTGCTCGCTAGAAATTCTGTTCTGTAAGTAACGTATTTTCAACGATAACATTCACGTCTCGTTATTCCAGCATTACTAATCATACTCCATTACTACATACACTCCATCGTAAGTCGTAACCGCGGTAATCGACGTACGAATTCAACAAAAAATTAGAAACATTTTCGGGACCATAGCCGGAAGCCCGAACGCAAAAACCGATAGTCTGACACATCCTGAATTGACTCAGTTCTCTAACCCGTCACATACGTACCTCACCGAAACGAAGTGTGCTTCCTTCACACGTGCGAAAATTCCGCTCCAGAACTCGTCAGTAGGCTCTTCGTGTGCAGCACAGCAGGCTGTTTTCACATGGTCAGCTGAATATTATTAGTACTAGCGTAACGACTGACGCGCATGCGACGGAACGAGGGAAACATCAAAACGGGAAAAACCGGCGACTGCGGAAGAAGAACGTACCACGGAGTGTCCACAAACGGACAACACAACGCGAAGAGTCGGCAGCGCAACGTACGGTTGACACGGACCGACGATTTCTGAATCGTACAAGAGAGCCGCGTAAAGTGTGCGCGGTGGACTGGTGTGTGGGTGTGTATGTATGTTGAACCGCGGAGTGCGGTAGACCCCGGCGGTGACGATAGAAACGCCATCTTGTGGCGGAAGTCCGAATAACCTTTGTTGTTATTTATTTATTATCATTATTAATATTTTTTTTTTTTTTATCACATAATACCACAGGTTAAATTTAAATTTTTACCCATGAAAACTAGAGATATCTCTGTAGTCTTCATGTACAAATAAATAAGGTAACTATAGTTAATTCATAAATAAAATATTATAATACATTTTAATTTTAAATGTATTCTATATTTTCACGGAAATCAAACTAGAATTGTATAGAATAACTAGATATTCTATAAAATAATTAGTTAAAGTATAATTTTTATGTATTATTTTAAATATGGTATAAATATAGAATAAACTATAATATCATTTATTTCATAGTTTAACTAACGGTTAACTAAAGGTAATTCAATTACCTAATTGTTTCGTAAATTAACGGAATTCTACACTTTAATTAAAACATACAAATGTACCCATTACGGCTTTGATACACGCACAGCCATCTATAAGATACTATACTATTTATAATCATTAATCAATGTTATTTTATTATTAAAAATGTCGGCAGCGGTGGCTTGTATACACTGGCGCCAGAGGTTTAATGGATTTGTTACGTTTTCCTGTGACTTTCTCCCATTGGTATTTTGTTTTCACGTGTAACGTGTTAACAAGTAGTGCACTTGAATTTTAGAATATAACTACATTTTAGGGTCTAAGTGTAGTCACTGTCGCAAAACCGATAGTTAATTTTACCTTTTTTGTAAAAATTTAAATTAGAAGTTGATAATGTGAGTTATCTACATATTTTTATTAGATATTCGACACATGAACGCATTGTTATGTCTTCGTATTTTTGTGTTTCAATAAAAACGTGCGTAGGTTTATAACAACATGCCGTAGTCCAAGGTGGAGCTAAAACACATTGTACTACTGAACAACATGCTATAAAACCTTATACGTCCTGGAAGATATGTCTATATGAAATTTTAATTTTTTTTTTTAAGAATTTCGAAATTTAATCTATGATTCACATTGATAACTATTTTTTTCTTTCGTAATTGAATTAACTCTAGTAACTATAGCCATTGGCCGACAATGATGACGATAAACTTATAATGACCAGTACCAGGTGTACTGATATATATATATAAGTAGTACCCAGATAGGTATCTAACATTAGCGCTAGTATTGTGATCTAGGGATCCCAAGTTTATTTTTTAAAAATACGGGACATTTTAAATCGTACCAATTTTTGAAATTCTCATTAGTATTAATTGAGGTGGAGGGGACTTAGCAAAATGTTTTTTGCAATTTTCCTAACAGTTACTAAATAAACTATAAAATAAAGTTGAATACAATATTTGATACTTTAAACCAGGGTCAGCAATCTGCGAGCCGCGGGCCTATAGGCGGAAATCGAGGGAGGCTTGAGGGGACTAAGCCCCCCCCAAAAATATAAATTACAGGTCTTAATCCCCCTAGCCCTAAAAATTGTTAAGTGACTAAAAATACAATAATTATTATAATTGTAAAATGCATTTATAATAACTGAATTAAAAAAAAATATTCTGTGATAAAAATTAAATCAAATTTGTAAGATTTTACAAACTTCTTGTCATGACTTGGAACGATCGCAATTAATATAATATTTATTATAGGTTGTTCAATGTAATTAATTAATAATTTCTGTTTAGAATACCTACTCCAAAAATGTTTAAGATAAGGCACCTAATTGGTTTTTTGATTAAATTGTTGATTAAAAATTTCAAATTGTCAAACTTCGTAAATTGCCTTGTTGAAATAAATAATTGCGCACAGTGGTATCTATAAGTATAATAAGCAAATAATGCTCAGCCCCCCCCCCACAAATTTCACCAAATTTCCGCTTATGTGCGGGCCGCATGTGGCCCTCGAAGCCATTTTTTATGGCCCGCACAAAGGTGGTTAATTTTTGTGTTTTATTTTTGTTCAATAAAATTTTTCATACAATTTTCAACACTATTCAATTCTTTTTTCTTTATAAATAAAATTATTATTATTATCTAATCGGAGTGGAAGAAAATGAAAGCTGCACTACTCAGTCATAGGATAAATTAAATATATTTGTATATATATATAAAAAAATTAAAATTTTTAATATATATATAATCTATGTATTTAATACATATATATCTAAACAATATAATATATTAATCTATGGGCATAGTTACTTTGCGTGTGTAGCAATTAGTATTACACCATGATTACATCCGTACGTGTGACTGTTTGCATTTGTAATACTTTCATTTTACAAGTAAATCCAATCATTATGGCGACTAAAAAAAGAAAAAATTGGTGATGAACATCATTTTTTTAATAATTCTTGGGTTAATTTATACTTTTTTGTCGAAAACAAAGGTAAGCCATTATGTTTAATTTGTCAAAAAATTAAATTTATTCTTAAAAACAATTGTTTCCAGAAACATTCATATTTTTTACACTCATATTTTTATGTAAAATAATTAAATATAATAGCAATACAATTATTAGTATATATCATATGTAAAAATATTTTTTAATATGGCCTACGTGGTTCAAAAGGTTGCCGACTCCTGCTTTAAACAAATATAAATTATAATTAAAATTAAAAACAAATAATTAGGTGACTTTACTATTTTTTTTAGATTTTTTTTTTTTATAATCAAATATTATTAGTTATCATTTGATTTAGATATTATAGTTTATCAATAATATAAAATTTAAAAAGCTTACCGATATTAAAAATTTAATTTTTAAAATAAGTTATGTACGAAATAGATTATACAAAATACGGGACAAAAGTGTTATTTTTATACTTGTGTCGGGACACCGGGACACTTTATTCAAATACGGGACGATTCCGTAAAATACGGAACGTATGGGATCCTTATTTTGAGCTTCGTCGCTAAAATCCTGGATGGTCGTCCAGAGACGTAACCAGGCATAAGCCTTAAAGGCACGGGCCTAGAACGGCAACATTTTGAGCTAGTAAATAATTCACTTGGAACCAAGGAAATGTAGGTTAGATTTTTAGGTTTGATTATTTCAGGGGCGTATTTAGACTTACTTCTAGGGGGGGGCGACTCAAATTTTTTCTTTAATTCAGGGTCAAAATTTACAAGTAAAATTTTTGGTAATATTTATATCAAGTGAATTCTTAATATTTGTGGTTTTTTTTTTTTTATCTAATGCCGGATCCACTTAGAATGGTCTTTTATGTAGTTCTTTTTTAACACCTATCAGTGTTTTGAAAGTTTCGCTTGTGTTTTATCTAATTGTTCACTAAGTATCGACTGGGTCTTCAATCAAAATAATATATATTATTTATCGTAATGGGACATATAAACGTTATAAGCAATTGAGCGTTTAACACTATAAATAATTTAAACGTTATTCAATTTAAACGTTTAAAAATTTTCCGTTTACCGTTATTGACAATATGAACAATAACAATATGTTATTAACGTTATATGAAAAATTTAGCGATTTGCATTATTTAAATTAGTGTAAAATTTGAAACATTTTCAAATGTAGTAGGTATACTATAAAATAAATCATAATTTTTGTTTCTTAATAAAATACCTATTACTTATATAAAAATTGTCTTGGTCTAAAAATTCTCGGGAGGGGGATTGCTCCGGCGCATCAAATACGCCACTGCAAGGGACGAATATTATTTTTAATCTTCATGATCGAATAAGTAAATACTAGTTGTTCTGTTCACTTTGAGTCTTTGTATTTAAGACTTGTGCTACTCGTGGGACTGGTAGACAAATATTGATGGGTATACGGTTATTCTTAGTTATTTATATTTTAAAGTTTGACATAAATATAGCTATAATTTTTGAATTACCCAACCACAAAACAATAAAAATTTCTCAGAACGTTTATAAATAAAATTATATTATATTTATATTTATATATTATATTTCAAGGGAACATTTCGAATGATTATTTTGAGACATCTCGTGATTATAAAAATGTCCTGATTATTAATATTTCGATCATTGAAATCATTCGATTATGCCCATCACTAACAGGTACTGGATACGCAATTCAGCCGTGCTCGAGTAAAACCTGGGACGCAATTAGTATTTTACCTTTTTATACCTTTTTATACGGGACGCAATTTGAACGCGTTGGTAATTATTGTTCCGTCCTTATTGTTAGGTATTATTTTTTGTCGGATAAATAACTTTTATTTTTAAATATTGAACTATGGCTATTTACTAATTTAAATAAATATCATGATTTTAACTATAAATTTGTTCACTTAACCATTACATTTAATATTTACTATTGCTCAAGTTTTAACAATTATATGGTAATAATTGTTAATTTTTTTTTATTTAGACTGATGTAAAATATATTATAACGTAATTTACTTTTATATACCTGCCTCATAATAATTATTTTGCAATATGCTTTATTATCGTTAATTTATATTTTATTATATTATTTATTTAATTCTGTTTGTAACTTGGTTGTAAGAATGATTATATTTGTAATAAAAATAATTTAAAATTTTTTAAAATTAGACGAATCCAATATCTCCTTCACCTTTTTTGTCTTCGTTTACTCATTCTTCGTTGAACGACCTATTAACACACATCATCTATTTCATTCATTTTCGATGTACATCTGAGTTGTACTAACTACAATGACTAGAACATTCACATTCGACGCGCGTAATTCGCAGCTATCTGAACGGTCGTACGTGTGTTTTATATTGTATTCGTGAACTTGGCCTATTGCTAAATTAAATAGTTCAAATAACAATTATAACCCGCAAGTCTATGACACCAGAATATGATCAGGTAGAAAAGCCTTATAAAGGTCGAAGGAAAATTTATAAATATACCTAATCATATTTCATCATCAGTAATCACCAATTTGAAAATGTGGAGAGGTATTTACGTAGATTATGGATTCCTTTTACGTGGTTTAATGTTTTCGAAAAAAGGTGTCTATTGATCGTAAATTGTGCACAAATGAGTAGTAACCATAATTTAGAGATCATTTTCTATAAATAAATCAGAATAGCTTTTTTAAATATCTAGTTGAAAATATATTGATTATCATTTAGAAGTGTACTATATTAGTTTCTACTACATTACAATAGTAACTTCAATTGTATAAATTAGCTTTATCAGCAATGCCGTATTTAAGAAGTCGTTTGGGAAGGCAATAGATCCCTCCCCTGAAATATTTATAGAGGTGACAACATTTTTATGACGATTCTAAATAAAAACAAATAGATTTTTTCGCATTCTCAATAGAATATTAATTTTTAATAGATAATAAACAAAATTATGTGAAAAATAAATATAAAATTGTAAAATTAATTATAATGTTTAGTAGCTTATTAAATTTATATCTATTTAAAAGTATTTTATTTTACATAATATTTTATTGAAATATAGGTATATGTTTAATCCTGATTTGTATGGGGATGGGATCAAAGGTTACAGCCAATTAGTCTTATAATAAACAATTTTCTATAATTTTATTTTGGTAATTAAAATTCAGTTATTATTTTTGATTTTATATTAATAACTAATATTGTATTAAAATGGGAATAATGAATGTCAAGCGTAGTAAGCGGTTTTTTAATGAAAAGTTGAAGAAAATTGTTTTCAGTTTTGCATTTTAGGGAAGTGGGGCGGCATAATCTTTGATACGGCCTTGTTTATCAGAATGAATGACAATCATTGGTTATGAATTGGTAACTTACAAACACATACATACAGTAGGGAAGGTGATTTAAAAACTTCCTATAGTTTTATTTTATTAATAAAGGTACCTTTACTCATGCAGTTATACATTATATTTTATGACAATATTTAGATTTTATCAGTATATTCTAAATTAATATCATCAATACAAAATATGATACTACAATCAAATTAAAACAGATGACTATAAATTATAAAACTGTCTTCGAATTAAAAAATAAAAAATATTATCTGAATCTGAAAGTTGTAAATCATATTTTAATTACCTACCATAGATAAAAATACATTTAATTTTTTCAAATAAAATTAAAAGATATAATAATAAACATGAAGTGCTGACAAGCAGATGTGGTACTTGGAATATGAGGGACAAAAAATATATTATATCTAAAATATTTGACAGTTAAATAACTTATAAATAGCTTTAAATAGTTAAAAACTGTTAGATTGGCAACTAATGTAAGTTATTATTAACCAAATCATATATTTATATGTAATAATAGTAGTATGTGACAATTACATTTTTAAATGGTATAAAAAATTTCAACTATCCCAAATGTTTAAGAAATAATTTGAATGATTTTATTCTCATATTTTGCTTTCAACCCATATTTCAGTATACTTATATAACCAATACATTTGGAAAATTTAAATATAATAAAAACTTAATATTGTCAGAAAAAATTTCAAGTATTATTTAAAAACAAAACTATTTAATATTTATGAAATGAACACTGAATAAGCCACACAAATTTAGAATAATATCCCCATTTATTTAAAAAGTTTTCATAATATAAAAAAAAGACTGCTTTACAATTTTTTTATTGATGTAGATTGGTAGATATTTAAATACTACAGGTATGTTTAAAGTAAAAATATTAATTGTAATTTTTACATAATGAAAAATATTTATATTTATAGTCTTTAAGTAACATAATATACATATATTATACAATTGCAGTTGCTTTCAATTTTGGTTCTTTCAATATTTTAAAAAAATGTTATTTTATTTCTTAAGTCTTGAATATAAACATACTTCAACAATGGTGAAAGCAATAAGTTTTGTTTCTAACTTTATTAAAATTTAATGCATTTACACATTTTTTTTTCTTGTACATATAAATCAGAATGTTAATTAGTTAAAACCATAATATAATACTAATTTAATTAAAATTACAAATCATCTTCTTCAGAATCTGAAACTAATCTGGATTGTCTTTTCTTTTTTGTATCCATGTCAGAACTATCATCCTCAGATGAATAAATATTGCTCTTTTCAACTGAAAATAATAAATAAAACATAATAAAAATTCAAAAAAAAACCTTCCCTAATTTAATTAATGCAGTTTTTACACATAAAGTACATTAATTTTATTTAAAGTTAAATATTTCAAATAAATCAATTAAATTATAAAAGTTCATAAATTTATTTTGATCTTTTGGCATACGGTTATGTCATATATAGGCAGATGCCTATAGTGGTAAACTTTAAAAAGATAATTTTTAAAATTATGATATTGACTCAAATTTATATTATTAAATATGTAATGTGTCTAACAGGATATCTATTTTTAATTTTCAAGCATGAAACTAATATTATTAACACTTGGTGGCCTGCAATTCTTCAAATACATAGTTGACAGCCACTTTACAGAATAATTCAGAAATACATTATACTATTTAAGATACAAAGTAGGCAAGTACTATAATTATATTTTAGTAATTTTGGGTAGCAATTTTTCTCAAGCCTAAAAGTGAAGAACATATAAGTACACCTCTGATACTTTGTTCTTATAAAATAATTAAATTTAAATGTAATGTTGTGCATTGGTAAGTCTATGGCTAAGTTTGATAATAATTAAAAAAATAAACAAATGTACCTTTAGCTGTAGATTTTTTATTAAACTTGTTTTTTATAGCAGATAGAGATATAGCATTTTCATCATCAGATCCATCTTCTCTTTCAGGTTCCAAATATGAAGAACTGATATTACTATTTGCTCCACGTTCTCTAGCTCTTTTAATTTTTGTTTCTTTACGCATTGATTGACGTAGTTTTTCTTCTTCTCTCTACATCAACAAATTGTAGTTAAAAACTTTATATCAAAACTCATAAATTTTTTATACAAAAATTTGGAATTTATACAGTTTATAATTTATACTGTGGTGGTGATGATGAGAGGAAACAAAAGCAGTAAGAGTGGTTATGAAAATGAACATCACAAGGGAAAAAAGGAAGATCAAAAAAGAGATGGTTAGATACAATTGAGAATAACATGAGAGCTGTTGATGAATGCATAGGGGATTTAAAAAAATAAGATGAGCGGAGGCTTAGAACAAAGGTGGCCGACCCCAAATATTTGGGAGAAAGGTGAAAAAGAAGAAGAAGATACTAAACTTATACTAAATGCTATATTATATACTAACTTTAATTTTTTCATATCTATTAGCATCTGGATCAGCTCCAACTTGAGATAATACTTTTATGCCAGAAGATTTTTGTGATCTGTCGGCTAAAGATAAAGTAATTTTACGATGAGTGAATGATTCTGTTGAATGAGGACGGAATGACAATTTTGTACGAAATACTGCTTGACCTTGTAAACCTGTTCCTTGGCGAATAAATAAATGATTATGGTCTCCCTAAAATACATAAATGTTATTGCACTAAATTACGTACATCATATTTAGATTATAACAGTTTCAGTCCATGTGAAAATGGAAACTAATTATTTATTATACAAAATAAATAATGATTTACCACTAATGGTTGTTTATAAACATCAAAAATTTCAGAGCCCAAATGTAATGACATACTACCATCAGACCATTTAATTACTCTGGTATTACTTTCTTTAACTAAACTTCCATCCTTAGCAAACACTTCACGCCATCTTATGGTATTTTCTACTTTCAATTTTACCCTAAAATAATTTGTTAAAATTAAATTAGATTTTTCTAGCCTGAAGTAGTTACCAAGGTTTTACATCAACATACCTTGCTCGTCCTTCTTCATCCAAGGTTTCTTCTTCATCAATTTCATCTTCATAAGTTTCTCGATCATATGGTCTAGTTTCGACTGACAAAAAGTTGGGTAATTTTACAAAGTGTAAATCACTTCCAAGATCAACAGATATTTTAGGTATTTCAACAGCAATTCTTCTTTCTGGAATTGGTTCTTCGACTTCTTTTTCTTTCTCCTCTTTATCATTAACTTCATCATCATCATCAGCACCACTTCTTTTATCATCATTATCACTTTTATCCCGATCTACTTCATCATCACTTATTGGTCTAGGTGTCTTAACTTCTTCATCAGAACTTATATCATCAGCTTCACCAAATAAGTCATTTTCTTTAGGTGCTGTAAAAAACATGAAAATTAAGTAATTAGTAAAAAATATTTTTATGTTTATTTATAAGTAAGAAACACACATTTTTCTGAAGCTTCAGAACCACTTTGTTTTGCTTTTTCTTCCTTATCTGAGGATTCGTCACCAGAAACACTAGAACTTTTTCGTATTGGTTGACGTTTTTTCCTACCAATCATAGAACCATCACTATCATCAGACTCAGCGTCTTGTGATTTTGCTATATCTGGAGATGTTGATTGCGATTTTTTTGATGTAACACTTTTTGGACTTGTACTACTTGATTTTGATTTATTACTTTTAGATGAAGCTCTACTGTGATTAGTAGAATGGCTTGCATGGGATGTATCACTTTTTCCACTTGCCACTGATTGATTAGATGCTACTGAGCCTGTAGGAGATGCAGATCGTGCTGATGCTGATGCAGCAGAATGTTCTGATGTAGCAGAGTGAGCTGATGTAGCAGAGTGAGCTGATGCAGCAGAACCCCTTGATGCAGCTGAAGCAGCACTAGAGGATCTACTGCCTGGAGATGGAGAACGAGAACCAGCAGGAGACTTCGAAGGACTTTTTGATGCTGAAGCTGAACCAGATGCACTCCTAGATCGAGACCTTGATGCAGGAGAAGCTGGTTCAGATCCTGATGGAGTATGAGCAGCTCTTACTGAAGAAGCTGACCTAGATGATTGATTACTGCTATTTGCAGATGATGAACTAGAAACTGATTCTGAATCACTAACATCTAAATTAAATAAAAATAAAAAAATAATCAGACTGACATAGTACTTATATACGTTTATTTTAATGTATAAATTAATATAAAAATAAATTGAATATAAACTTACCGTTATTGTTTTCATAATAATTAACCATTTTAAGATTTGAAAAAATACAATTATTTATAAATCAATATTAAAATTGTCTAGAATATTACTAATTCATAACAGAGTGTAAAAAAAATCGTAGTATGAGATCCAACATTCTTAAAATATGTGTAAGGTAGTTGTAGTTAAGTGTACATAAAAAATTAACATGCAATGGTTATTAAGGGACTGAACTATGATCAAATTTATCGGCATAAGTCAAGCACACGGAAACAACACTGTTATCAATGTTATCATTATTTTTAACGTATACGGTATACCCGGTGCATTAGTGATTCTAGAGAGTATGGTTTCTCGACCAGTAGAACCAAAATATATTTAAATATTTTCGTTGCATTTGAACTAATCGCAATTTTTGAAAAAAAAATATTTTTTAATGAAAACACCTGCAAAAATTCCTACAAATTTTAAAAAAATATTTATAAACATTTAGAACGAAATATTTCAAATTGTAATTATAATATTGTAAATCACATTGTGGCACAAAGGATATGCAACTAAACATACAATCTGAACGTAAACGTTTATTATAAATACAAATTTATATCATATTAATGATTTTGTTGAAATTATTAAAAATGTGTTATGATGATTACATAAATAATATGAATTTCAGTCATGTTAAAAGTTTGACTTATAGTTATAAATATTTCAAAGGTTTTTAAACTTATATTTATTTATTTTTTATTATTCTATTATTGCACTTAAAATGACTGCGAAAATAAAACTATCATGTGCGAATAAAAAATTGAATTGAGTATATGGGTGAGTAATGTGCCTCAATCGAATTAAAGATGAATTGATTATAGAAAAATTGAGAACAAAACATGCGCAAGAGCCGTAAGATCACGGACGATGCACCAATGGATTGAAGATCGAAGAAACTTAACATCGAACATCTGATCGAGTTTTCGGTTAGAGAAGTTTTCGGTATTTTTCTCCAGAGGGAGAATTTTGAATCTTGGTAAGAGTTCAACAATAGATATTTTATAGTACCCGAAAGAAAACAGAACTTAGAACTAAGAAGCTGAAGTTTAAAAATCGGTGGGTTATTTTGTTGTTTGAAAAGTCGTAGCTTGTGTTAGATACATGGTAGTGTGACAATAAACGTGCAGTAGTAACGTTATACAGACGACAGATACTTGATTTTGAACTACAATCTTAGATTGCTTTTGTTGTGCGTTGGAATATTGAATTGTGTTTTCATGTTACTTCGCAAGCAAACCTTAGAATAGTTCACACGTGAATATTTAAAATAATTTAAGTAACTACTACCATATATATATTTCACAATTTATAAATAATTGCACACTTTACTACATATTTTCAATTTGTTTAATGCATATGTATGTACAAATAATATGTTTATTGCTCAAAATGTATTGACATACTGTGGAATATCGATACTCATTGATAATTAAAAATATTGCAGTACTGCTAACAAAGCAAACATATAACTACATCAATGTTTGGAGGAAGAAAAAACACATATATTTAATATTCACGGTTAAAATAGCAGTATTAGTCAAAAATTGAAATTCCCACGAGACGCATAGAAGTCAACGGGTCCGGGACCAAGGGAGTAAATGACTCGCATTGGCTGACCATAATAATAAACTTGAAAATAATAGCATATCATAAATAACGATAAATTGTAACTTAAATAGTGCATTGAACAGATTTCAAATTATTCGGGTACATATACCTATTGTACCTATATAACATAAGATTGGTTAAAGTGAGTCGAGCATATGCTAGTGAAATAAATGGTCATTGAAAAATCACTACCTAGCAATAAGATTAGCCAATTAATTCAAATTATGGTCAGTGACGGATAACTAGTTAATCTAATTAAGGTAATTAATGAATTAATAATGTGCTCTACATTTAAATGTACCTAATAAAACTGAATTTTGATGTTTATAGGAAACATTGATCATGTTTCCAATACTTTTTTAAAATACTTTTAATAATTTAATAATTATTATTTATTAAATATTTTAGATTTGTAATTATTTTTAGACTTAGTTTGGTACAATCATAAATATGTATATGTATATATGTTATTGAAAAATTTATAAATTATTTAAATAATAAAGAATTTAACATTGGTTCAATATACCTAGTTATTATTTGTATAATTACCATATAAATAATTTTAGATAGTCTGCCTAACCTAAGCTAACCATCATCTATTCGTACTATTTAATCACTTTTAAATAATTTAAAAATATTTTTTGGGTGTGTAAAAAAAATATTGAATCATATATAAACAAAAAAATGTCTGAAAAATTCGTTCGGGTTAGTGAAAATATGAAATTTTTTATTTTTGCCGACTGCATATAAATAAATAATTAATTGTATATTTTACACGCAGTTATTTATTATATCTACAATACTAGTCTTACTAAATGTTATGTTTAAGGATAGGTGTTTAAATATTCTACGCTAACGGACTTCAATAAAACGATGAACATTTTTTTTTCTCTTAGTTTTAATTATACTTCTTCAATCTCTGACCTGAGATCAATACAATGCACTTTTTAAATTGTTTGTACGAACACGCCTATGATTGTTCAGGTTTTTTCAAAGTTAGAATCCTTAATAGTTTTTAGTGTTTTATTAATTCTCGAATAATTATAATATAGGCAGCAGAAGTAAAGTGTTTCATAAAAAAAAAAAATTTTTAGGAACAATCATAATATTTTTAAACAAAAATATGATTTCTTTTTTTTTTCCTGGAAAATTCTTGGTTATGGTATTGTATCTATAATTATTATAATTTTACATCTGCAAATATGTTACATAATTAGTAGAGTTAGGATGTTGATAACTTTTGCATTTTTTTCCTTTGATTCTATATAATGCTATTTTAGCTAAAAATTTGTTTTATGCTCCCTTGATGCAGAATATTCTAATTTTATTTTGCATTTTTCGGCATTAATATAGCTATAAAAGCATATTTTTGTTTTTTAATGTCAATTTTCCATTTTTTAGGTCATTTTTTGTAGTTTTTTTTACATTGTGGGGCATTTTTCTCAAATTTTAGATTTTAGAGCAAGTGTTAAACCCAAGTTTGGAAACAAATTTAATAATTAATCATTTTATATAATGCTTAAAATGTATATTTATACTATTGTTTATTATAATTTAATATAATTTATAGTTCACAATTTAAATTACTATTACACCTATTATCACACCCATATCTCTAATACAAATTAATATTTATAAATATATTTTTTTCACTTACTTAATTAGTTTTTAGATAATTTTTTTTAAGTTTTTAGGTCATTTTTACACTTTTTTAGAGCATTTTTCCTTTTTTTTTTTTTGGCATTTTTGTGTCTTTTTTTAGATCATCATCATCCTAACTCTAATAATTAGTTATCTTTAATTGTGAATTTTTATAATTTTGATCCTAGATTATATCAAAAATACACTAATTATATAATATAACATAAGTGTACAATATCTTTTTTTATCATTGTTTTTTTTTCAATAAACTAACTAAACATACTGTTGTTTAATATTACAACTTTTTTTGTGTTGTGTGAACACCAGTTGAACGTTTAAAAATCTGAATGAAGGGGCGTATAATTTGTGCTTCATATGGATTTTTTCATTACCAATAACATTTTTTTGATAATTTTACTGCCGTAATAATAATAATAATTTAATATACTTTGTGTTCGGTTCTAAATGAAAAAATGAATTTCCCCTTCGTTTTCCCAAGCATTTCAATCCTGTGAAATACGTAAATAAAGCGTAGTCGCACTAAGCAAGCTGTACGGTTGGTCGGTAGTCGGACGCCTCTCCTGACTTTGGTCCCGCCCCTATTGAGAACAGCACTTCGTAAAGCACTTATGAGGATACGTTATACGAAAACGCTTCGCTTTGACGGACGTCATTTTTACTGTTTGTCACAAGGTTTATTCATATTCAATTATGCAAGCTTGATTGAATTTTTTAACTTATATTTTAGTAATTTTACTTAATCGTTTATTCAAAGAAGATTAAAATCACATATAGTTAACAAAAATAATTATATTTGATAATTGTATACATAGTTTTTTTTTTCATTTTATTAAATTATGATTAACACTCCGTGCGAGCAACAGGTAGATGAACCAGTAGATCATCCGAAAATACTATCGACCGTGAGTAAATTTAAAACAAAATAATTGCTATCAAATTAGATATAATTAAGATTATACATGATTGTGTATCTCAAATGCATAAAAACTTTAGTAAGTACTTTCATAGATAATTTTAATGTAAAATGTATTATATTGTATATTCTCAAAATGAATTATAAAATTAAATTTGAGTGTTCAAGTAAATTGGATTTTAAATATAAATAAAATAAAAAGCAAAATATGCCTTTTATATTCTTGTGGTGTAACTAATTATAAATCATCAATACAGTTAACATTTTAAAATTACCAATTATTATAATTGTTTAATGAATATTTAATCTTTGTCACTCCGTATATAGTTGTATATGACAAATAGTAAAATATCTCATTGTTGTAGATACCATATTAAATTTAATCAGGTTAATAATATATTTTTTGTTGGCTTAGCAGTATGGAATTTATATTAATTTTCTTCGACATTCAATTTACACTATTCAAATCATATAAACTATATAATATTTAAAATGTACGTAAAAAATATTTTGATTTGTCGCTCTATGTTATTTAATTAAATTTATCATAAGGTAAAATTAGTTTTATAGTATTAGTAAATATTTACTTGTATTTTAAAATTTATTTTATTATGATATATAAATATTGAAAACTAAATAAATCATTTTTGGCTATTAAATATATGTAAGTTTAAAAGTGTTTTAAATTTAAATTTTACAATTAACAATAGTTTTTGAGATTTATTTATTTACTTTATTTACCAAAACATTATCATCGCGATAGCTGAAGAGTATCACATTTACTGTGAGCAAGAGGGAAAGAGATTTATAGTCTATGCTCTTATTTTTCTTTTCCAATTTTGGATTTATTTTCATGTTTCTGTACTATGTTTTACTTTTAACTATTTAATTGTAATTTTCATCGGTATATTTTAATTTTTTTTATATTTATAAAAAATAAAATTGAATATTTGGACATATGCACATGCCTATTATCTAATGGCTATAGTATATGTCAGCATACAAAATCAGTAAAAAATGGAAAAATATTCCAACAACACAAATAGACTAATTGTAACATATACAATACACATGTTCAGTAGTCGTTACGATTAAAAAATAAAAACACTGGATTAATGGAATATTATTAACAGCCCTCGTTGTCACCACGAGAGAGTGCGGAGTAAGAGAGAGCGACGAGAGAATGAAGGGAAGGAGGATAAAATAAAAAAATCGTCGATTGCGTTCTAGCTAGCGTACCTTACCTACACATTATATAGGCGCGTGGGTGACGGAAACGTAGAGTGGAAATGGTTTCCCGATCACGTTATTAGTCACTTACGGCATCAAGAGCGCGCCGGAAAAAATAAATGACTTTTCCAACGTTAAATCATCGTACAAAACGAATTAGAAGTCGTCGTCGAGTTTGTGTGTGGCGTCGGAAGAGTTCATCTCACGGCGGACGACCTGGATGAGATGTGCCATTCGATCGCGACTCGATTCTATATTGACGTCTTTCCCTCGTCCTTATAATGCAATTTCGCCCCGGTGGTTTCCCCGTTTGTGTTCATTTCCGGACGCCGGTGTTCCCCCCCTCCCACTCTAGCTAACGTATTCTGCAAATTCTATACACTGTCAAGATTTCGTTCACGACGCATTTTCGAAAAGCACAGTAATTAATTCCATAAAACTCGTGTTATTCGTTAGTTACGCTATATTTTACTGTACTATAATATACGCATAATACGCGAGGGACTCTTATCGCCAGAGTTCATATCCATGTAGTGATGTCAGTGGTTAGTCAGTGGCATCTTCGACAAATAGTCACATCTAGTTTTACATACGAACTTTGGGTGTTTCAAGAATATTTGATACTCCAATGTTGCCACCTTAAGCTAGTCGATTCTCTCTAGGACGTTCTGTTTACACATTAAGGTGTTATACACTGCAAAATATGAAATAGAAAAGGTGTTTTTTACTTATTCATTTAAACATAGATCAATTTAATTGTATAGTCTAGTGTTAGTCAATGCATAGGTTTTATATATTACTTCATGTTTTATAAATGTTAATTAATGTTATTAATATTCGAAATTTAAAATAATCAAATAATTTTTTCAGTTCAATAACCGAAATTCGACGTATACGTCCGGAATAATCGAAAACGGTCTAATAGAAATCGATAAAAGAAATGAAATATTTGACGTTCCACAACAAACAGGTAAGGGAATAAAATCACATATATATCATTAAATAATCGTTTTCCTGCTTAAAATATATGTTACAACTTTTTTCAAATATAATTTCTAGTAACATTTTTGTAAAATAATTATATTTATTAATACATTTTATAATATAATAATAATATAATAAGAGAATATTACAATAATTTTTTAAGATTCTTCTTTTTAAATATAATTACGTATTTTTAATTTCATATGCTAACGCGGGACTTTTTTCTGGATTTTTTTATTAATTCTAATCTACATGCAAACCTGTTGTTAATTATTTGTTAGTTGGAGGTATTTAATGTTTACTTGAATATGGTGGCGTGTTAGGAAAATACCATGTTAGTGCTTTGCTCCTATGTTTTTCAAATTTATATTTATGGCGTTGTGGATCTTTAAATAGTAAGTTAGATAGTAAGTAAGTTAAATAGTAAAGAAGTCCTATAACCTTTAAAGGCTACAACTCGTTTGTGCACATTTACCTTTTTTACAACTCGTTTGCGCAAAAATGCGCAACTCGATTGCGCACATATGTTTTGTTTACCTGTGACGAAAATTCCTAGCGTCAGAACTCATTTGCGTACAATCGTTGATTATTATACTCCTCATGATTATGAGAGTTGGTTACTTTTATTATTTTGTTAGATTTATTATCAATAACACTTGCAGGACATTTTTTATTAGTGCATCTAAAATTTGAACATCCATTCATTAAAACTCGGTATTCACTAAATTCATAATTATCAATATTGAAACATCGTTTTTCTCACAGAGATTCAATAATATTAAAAATTTCTATGCCATATTAAAGTTTACGTTATCAACACACTAGTCACCACTGTACCGTCCATATACATAGGCCATTCCTACCGAAACTTTTCTAAAATTTGTTTGAAAAATCCAAATTTATATAATCTACAGTTTACACAGTCGATTATAAGATAATATTAAGATAATATATTAGATAATTTGTACTGCAATCTGTTACGATATATGTATACACGTGTCATGTTTGTGAATGTGTCGTGCATAAACGAGTTATCTATTTTCAAGTAAACGACTGATTTCGTCGTGCGCAAACGAGTCGTCGATTTTCAAGTCGAAAATTTTGAATAAGCGAAAACGAGTTGCAGCACCTTTAAAACCTTAAATTAAATGATTTTTTTTTTATATAATTATTTACTAAATTGCTAATAAATTGAACCCGTATTAATTATTTATGATCTTTGAAATTTATAGTAATATATAATAAATATTTCACGACATGATTTATAATATCCTTGTATTTCATAGTTTGAGGAACATTGTTTTAGTATATTAATTTACACTTTAGATTAATAATTGAATTACTGGTTTAATAATCGATTATGCGGAAACATTGACATTTCCAATAAAATATTTTGTTTTTTTTTTTTAACAAAAATTAACCGAAACATTGATTATTTAATAATTATTGTAATATTGTGTACCATTAAAATTAAAATAGTTATAACTTAATACGATTTCGATATTTAGATAACGTATATGTACATTTATCAAGTAAACCTATTAGCCAAATGCTAGAAAACTGGAACCATGAAGGTAAGATTAACTATTAATATGTTTTTTTTATATCTAAATAGATTTTATGAATCTAAATTTTTAAAAACTTTGAAAATTTACATAAACTTAATTCAATTTGATATCTATGAAATATAATTTACAGATATGTTCTTAAGTATATAATTATTATATATAAGTTTAATGTTATATGTATTGTAGTAAATGTAATGAATGAAATAGTAAACAGATTTGGAGGCAAATTCAAGTTAGCGGATATCTGTTTAACCGTTGGATTAATATAAAATATGTTTTATATAACATCGTTTGAATGCCATTTAAATGTCAAGAAATATCGCTGAAATGATTTTAATTCCTAAATTTGATTTTTGTTTAGTTAAGCAACCTATAATTTATTGATATTTTATAACGACTCATTCTTTAATAAACAAAAAACATCAAAAAAATTATTTTAAAAAATATATTCGATTAACAAAATTACACAAAATTTAAGTATGGTTTTATAAATCGGCATATTAAATATGTAATGTATTTTAGGAATCTCAGATAAGTTTTTAGATGTGCTATTTTTGTTATGCAAAGCAAAATATATTTACAATACTTTTGTTTTCTGTAAACACTTCATTATAATTGATTGTTTACTACTCACGTCAAATATTGTAACTCAACAATAAAACTATGCAGCTTACTATTGTTTTCAGTTAGCGAAAATCGCATCTGTTTAACTGTAGAACAACTTTTACTTTAAGAGATGAATTAAGTATATATTATTACAATATCTAGTATATGTATTATATGCATATCATTTTTCGATGACGAAGCGGTAGTCTGAAAAAGACGACACTACGGTATCTCGCTGAGATTCCGCTAAGTAGAATACTTTAGCGGGGGGGTAAATCGTTTACCTTTTTTATTATTGTATTTTAACTTTTCGATTAAAGGGGACTTTGATCATATCGCATTTACAAACATGACATATACGTCGATAGTTTCGTTGGAAATCAGAAATAATAGTGCGTATATATAAGTTTAAAAGAAATACGAATCCATTTTTTAAATGACAGTTTAAATGTGTGCATTTTTTCCATACATGAGTATACATACCATTAATAATCCACAACTTCTTATACATTTTATTCTGTCATTTCGATATTAAAATCCAACTCGCTATATTATGCGCTGAGTCAAAAATCTTAATCTAAAACATGTAGACGCTTTGCATAAACCTTATTTGAAAATGATTAAAATTTTAGTTTTAAATGGACGCGTGTTAATAAGTAATTATATAAATACTACTATATGAAAATCTTGAATAATGTTATAATATTGAATTAGCTATAACATAGTAGTGTAGGTGAACGAATTGAGTATTTAAGTAATACACGCAGTGATAATGCCTGAAATATAAAAACTATGCTTAAACATGTTACATGTAGATTTTATATGAGTTAGAGAGTTAATATGTTGATACTTGAAAATATCCTCTGTATAAACTAAATATTCAAAAGTATATGGAAAACAAATCTACCAATGAATCATTTTGTTAAATGCAGTCATGGTTGCCTTATATAATGAGTATATATTATATATTATACACGCATACTGTGTTTATTTTGCTGTATTGAAGGGGTAGAAGTCGTCCTTGTTGAAGAATAAACCAAATAAGACCAACGTCCAACACCCTCGGTAAATCGCTGAATTAGATTTATGAGTTGGAAAACATATATATAGGCAGCTGTTTAGTGGAGGGCTTTTAAAGCAGGATGGATATTGAAAACTTCGGTGTAATCGTTATCAACAACGTATAAATTCGATTTCTTTTGTTAGTTCGATATATTGGATACAATATATAAAATATTGTAGGATAAAGAATTTTATGTATTAGAATTATTTTTTGAGATCTAAATCCATAAATATTTTCATAATTGTAACTATCAAAAAATAAGCTGTACTACTATACATTTGTATAGTAATCAATTTTTTAGGAATAAATTATCTATTATAAAGTTTATACATTAAGATTTTTTTTGATTTTTAAATACGTTTTGCCGAAAACAATGAAATGAAATCTTAACATAATTATATATTTCCATGACATATTATATAAAAGATAGAAATTAATATTAATCATAATAATTAATTTTAAATATTTTATTTATTACATTATTTTAGACCGAACAATGTATCAACAAAATCTTACAAAATCCGAACTAAGGTATCCAGATTGTTGTGGTAGGTCCACGCGGTATTTCACTGATCATTACCATCCACATTCGCCAACCAATTTCAGGTAATTTTGAAATTTGCTTGTATATTATACATTATAAAAGTAATAAGTAAATTCTGTTGTAAAAACGTAGTATTATGTTGGACATTTAAATTAAATAGTTATGTACTTATAACGATAAAATTAAACTATTATAAATTGTATGGAATTAATTTACTTGTTTCTCAAAACAAATTTTTATTGAAATATTAATGCATTAATAACTATTCCTTGTGCTAGTTGGTTTTTCATTAATATATTGTTATATGATAATTTATTTAATAACATTCAGTTTTGTATACAATTCTATGAAAAGTAATATATTATATTGTTAGTTTTGTTAGTTAAGTAATATTTATATATAAAAAAAAAGAAGAAAAAAAGAATTGAATTCAGAAAAGTTTAAGCCATAAATTGTAGAATTACTAATTTGTATGTCATATTGTATGTAATATATATATACACTGTTTGAAATAATTAACCCCAGAAATAGGGCGCGTCTCCACCACTATGTATTTTAATTTTTAATACAAAGGGTTAAACGATCTCTCGTTATAAGCTACTTGGACCCTTTACATTCCCTTAAATTATTAACCTGATAATTATTTACGGGCTTCTCATTTGTTGGCTTTTCAAAAGATTATTTAAAACCCATACCGACCTGCGAACCTCTCAGCTCTCTGAAGAATGTAATCCTCTTTCTACAGTTTCTATATTATGATATATGGTATGAATTCAGTTGTGAGTATCGAGTAGGTATAGCGTCACTGCATTTTGTACAATTGTATCGATAAATGTTGAAAACGATACTTGTAACATCACAAGTTACACACCAATGTTAAATGTTTATTTTAAATGTTTTTCTAGAAGTCTGACCACAAGAAACTTATACTACGATTATTACGATCCACCAATGGTGACGCACAAAAAAGATCTAGAGTCCAAGTATTACGGACAGGATGCGAACGGAAACGCCACTAGATATTCGACACAAGGCAAGTATCAACAATTATAATTTCCAAATCGTTAGCCAATCAAGAGTTATAAAATATTTATTAAAAGTTAAAACTATACATTGTTTGGAAAAGTTCACTATTATATATTTTTAACGTACTAAAGAGCGTATTTGCTTTGAAATGAGGTACTTTTTTTCATAGACAGCCAAACTGGAACAAATCAAAATATTTTAATTCGGCATCATCAATAAAATACCGAAAATTAATGAACTGTAAATTATATGGAATAGATATATTTTAAATTTGAAAATTTTGATGCAGGGCCCCCTCATTTTTGTAAATTTTATAAGAAAATAATTTGTGGTGAATTTGGTTATGATGAATTATCTTCTTCTCGTGCCGCAAGAGGGATGCAAAATGATCAAAGAGAGTAGTTTTATGGTTTTTCCGATTTAACTCAAAAACCAATGACCCTTTCGTAAAATGTTATAAAATATTTAATAAAGCCTTAATTACTTTTTATAAAAAAGTATATATCAAAATTTCTTGTAATTATTATATTTTTTTACAAAAATAGCAAAATATAAATTATTTAATTTATTAGGTATAATTGAATTTATTACGGTTATTTTGTTATATTTTTTTAAAATTTTTACATATTGCTAATAATTATTCGATAACAATATTCTGATTAACAGATTATTTTATATTATTGTTTACTATTTATAGATAAAAATGTTTATTGGTTAATCATAATAATAACAGTAGAAAGGCGATAGAAAATACAAGAAATCGTGACAGCAGTAATTGTTTATTTCGTTTTAGCTTATAATTACAGAAATCTAAATATAACATTAAACTAATCGATCCAACAAAAACTTATAAATAACCTTTTTTTTTAGAAAATTAAATATTACATACATTTATTTAAGATATTTAATTTTATATTTAAATAATTAACACATACGTTAAGATAACCGTAATTAAATTAATTTTACCTAATAAATTAAATAATTTGTATTTCGCTATTTTCATGCGAAAATAATAGATAATTACAAAAAAATTTAACAGATATTTTTTTATAGACAGTAATTAATGATATAATAAATGTTATATACATTTTTATGAAAGGGTTATACCTTATGGTTTTTGAGTAAATCGTCAAAACCATAAAACTACCCTCTTTGATCATTTTTCATCCCTCTTGCGGGACGAGAAGGAGTTAAGTCATCATAACCAAATTCGCCACAAATTATTTACTCATAACACTTAAAAAAATGGAATGGTTATGAAAAAAAAACAATTTTTTTTCTTCTTCCATAAGTAAGAATCGCCCTAATGCATATGATACTCGTATAATACTACAAAGATTATGGTTTGAATTGTTTTTTACATTTTTGATTTTTTATTGATCATTGAATCTCCCAGTCCTAACGTTCTGTATGGTTTTAAATTGTGTTAATTAAAAATATATATATATATATTAAATATATTATAAATATTAAATTAAATTAAAACGGTTTAAACAGTTAAATAATAATAATAATAATAATGGCTTTTTTAGGCTATACCAGTTTGAAATATGATAATTAATAATTGGAATATAAAATAATGATGTTTACTTCATATTTTATTTTATAACAGTTAATATTGAATTTCTTGAATTAATTAAACAATATGAGTAATATACTTTGTTCCTAATTTAAATTTTGATTTGTAATAATTTAACTAAATTGCTTTGGTTAATCAGACCAATATTATTATAATTATAACCATAATGTACACATATATGTATTATAATATTAATTCTAAATAAGTTAAAATTAAATTGTTGTAATTTTAATGGAAAATATTCAATATTTAGTAGTATAGGAACTATAAAAAATTATAATCAGGTTTTAAAGTCAACAAGATGAAAACGTATTTTAATCATTGTTTCGTTACCGTATAGCTTATATTAGATATACCGGTAGACCAAAGGATAAAAAAATCGCACGTTTCGTTTTACATGCTGGTTTTTCATACTTTGGTTGATAGAAATATCGACCAATTATAATATATATCATACTCGTAAAATATACACACCTAATGTATATCATGCAAAAACACTAATAAAAATGCTCTGCACGCAGTTGGTCTCTCATCGATATGCGTTATTATAACAATGAGGAAAATCTAAAAACTAATTGAATATAAATATAAGACGCCTGAGGGTGACGGTGGTATAGTGTCATCAAAAGTAAATAAAAAAAAAAAAAATTCCGAACACGTACGTCACGATACTGATTTGCCACCAATATTCAACGAAAACAAGTGGTTCAATTTTCACATAGTAATATTTCTTTTTCTCGCCCGCCAGGCATAAAAAACAAAACAAAATTGAATTAAAAAATATTCAGCACCTGAAAAAAATATCTAAGCTTAAATTGATCAGTCCACGAATTATAAAAAGAGGGATCTGACAACGTAAATATTATAACAGCGTTACGGGGGTGGTGTTTTTGACGAAACCAAAAATTAACACATCTCGCTAACACTACCATCGTTTATGATATACATACTTGTGATGCGCAAACTGTGTTTAATTGAGAATAATACTGTGAGTATAGGCGAAACAAAACATTTAATTTTGAGTAGATCAACAATTTAATCCTCAAGGAGGTCACATTTTATATTAAGAACTATGGTGATTATAGAGTATATTAATAGGAAGAAATATTTTGATGGCTATCTCTTATCCTCAAATAAGTCCAAGAAGAGCTGTTTGTTATTTGCGATAAAAAAAAAAAAAAAAACTTAACTATCATTATCTGAAGTGTTTGCTTTTAAAATTTAATAAATTAATACATACACAATGTATATTATACATATATGAAATAATGAAAAATTATATTTTTATTAAATTCAAGTTTTATTATTTTCCCAAAAGCTGTAATTATAGAAACATTTCTGGATCAAAAAGTCGATCTATACCTTAATTTTATACTTAAAATAGAATCTAATCGTATATACACATTATTATGAGTTTATATAGAAGTAATTTTTTCGCTTAGTATTCAATACTTAATGCACGTTGCTTACTTTTAGATGTAATCAAAGGGCTTAATCTTTCTTAATGTAATAATGATGGCTCACCTATTGCCCAATAGGTACTATGTATATTTTTGAAATAGTTTTTAATGTTTTTATGTATTATTTATTAATAGTTTATTCAATTATGTACACTTCATTGTCGTCTTTATCGGCTGGAGCACTTTTTTGGAACAAACCAAAAAAAAACCAAAGTGGTCCAGACCGAGATAACCGAGATATTTGTTATTCGTGTTTCATGGATAACAAATAAAAAATTATGGTATCAATGAGTATGTTTTTAATTTCATTAACAACGATCAATACAAAATTATCTTAGATATCCATATTCATTCAATGAGTTTACGTAATCATGAGTAGACAACAATCTTTTGGTTGCAGTTCAATTTCGCATAATTTGCGGAATCGTTTTCCACCAAGTCTTTCTTTCATTTCTAAGATTATGAGTCTGCCCGTGATCACTTACACTCTTGATGTCGTGTTTTAGTATATTAGTTTAAAAATTTAGCTTATTTAATTTAAATAATATAATTTATTTAGCTAATTTAGTTTTCCGAGCTAATGACACGTTACAGAGTTAGCTGTCTCTGAGCCCGATATGTACATACTCGTATGTACACATAACGCGCGCGTTTTTCCATCGAACACCTTAAATTATTAGAAAAATTCAAATACGTTTTATATACGAGTACATAATATACACGTAGGAATAATAATGTGTACATTGGTGTAATGCATTTTACACGAGGCAAGTATAAATGCTAAGGGTCACCTACCACCTCCATCATCACCATCACCTAAAATGTGCTACATACGATTTTCCATTATATGATAGCTTTCGTTATTTTGGTATCAATCAGTTCAGCGGTACCCTATGCCCAAGGGGTAGCACCTCTCAATGTCGGCCACATTGCAGTGACTTCATGAAACACTCTGTCACGCCGTCACTGTACCTAATATAATTTGTTGTACATAAAACTCTTACGGTCAATAATACGAATGCGAATTTTGAGCTGTAATGTACAGAATCGCATTTGTGAAACCATTACATACGTGTGTTGTACGGAATCATAAATTATCATAATATAAGGACGCGACAAGTGTACATGGTTAATGTATGGGTGCAGTCGTGGTTTTGGGCCCACCGATACGTACGTGGTACTTGTCTATGTAATAATACATGGCAGAAGCAGCTAATGTATACCGCGCGTATCTAATCAGAAGTTTCAAAGAGTTTTCGAATCAAAAAAAACACACGCACACACACATACACACACACACACACACATACAAACGAACTTGTAGGTTACGTACGCGCGTGTGTGTTATTATTACCATATTCGTATACACGCACAGTACATGCGGTTTTTCATCCTCGACTAATCGCCGTAGCCACCCAACCCTAGTGCTACTGCTGCTCGCGACCCCTCGCCCTTATGTATTATTTACAATATAATAATGCGTAGTTGTTGTTGCCGTTGATGATACATGAATTATAGCCCCTTCGTTATGGACCCATTATCACTATTTTTCTTTTTTTTTTCTCTCGGAACCGACGAAATCGGTAGGATATAAGCGTTTGGGTTTTAAATAATGTAACGGCAACCTTTTAGTCGAGCGAGTAAGCGTGTGCCTAGTCCCGGTGACTGCAGAGGGAGAACGAAAAAAAAAAAGAAAAGCCAATGACGATTCCCGCCGGGAGTTGAAAAAATACTACAAATCCCATTGTTGTTGCTAATAGCTCGTAAATGAAATCTGTCTTGTTTTCCATCGACAAAACGTCTCTTGCGGACGAGCCTCGCGATTCTCTGTCGTTTTTCTACCTCTACAGTGTACATCATAATTTAAAATAAGTACATAGTTAGAATACTCTGTTGATATATATATATATATATATATATTTACGTTAAGTCTGGTGTGCACACGAATGAACAATTAAATACATTTCTCTACTACTGCTAATTCGATTTATTCGCAAATAATATTGATAATTTTTTAGTATTTTAATCGATAACTAGCAATAAAAATCGGCAGTCTTATCCTGTCAACTTATTTTCTTTGTATATGTTAGTATACTAATTATGTGAAAAACGCATCAAAGGCAAATAACATATATATCATGATATATCTACCACTAAAGTGCTGCTAAATCATTCATGTTGAATGTATAATATAATAATACAGCGTTTGTCCAGATAATTTCATAGATTTTAAAATTTTAAGTTTGTTAATAAGTATTTTGCATAGATAATAACGATGCCACAAGCAACGTAATATATACAAATTACAATGATTTATACTCAAATTATATTACATAAATGTATACAAACATTTATATACACACTTAATTATAAAATATAAATAATATGAGGACTAAAGTTGAAGATAAAATAATTATTCGAAATTTTATTTACTGAACGTAGTAGGCATCTACAGTATAAAATTTTAAATCTAATATATTACAGCCCATGTATACAATTCGTTTTTAATTAATGGAAGAATAAAACAAAAAAAGATGAATACACGCAAAAATGAGATTAATGAAAGTTAATATTTAATATTTATTCAATAATTAAAATAAATGAAAGCGTTGATTTAATTTATATACACGTATTTTTTCCCGCCGTATTTATACTCTACGGTTTGTAGGATAAGTTAGTTATATTAATTTTTTTTTTCCACCACGTAAAACTGCTAACACGATGAATATTAATTAAATTTGATTTTAGTTTTATTTAAAAAGACGTAATAAATAACTAATCATTTCAACAAAATAATTAAACGCTATGAATTTATATAACAAGAAAATTTAAAACAGGTGGTAATAATTTATGTACAATATTTGAATTACCTTGCTACGACTATTTCAGTGTCGATGAAGTGAAGAAACTGTAGTTATCAGTTATATTTATTAATAACTGCTTTAAAAACAAGTAAAAAAAAAAAATTAGCAAAAAGTTCCAACATTAGCATTAAATGGGTGTAAATAATTAAACTCTTAAGTTTAAATTACCAGTTGAATTTGTTTGAGTTTCGATAAAATTTATTGGTCAGTAACAATATATTAAAATTTCAGTTTCAAATGAAAAAATCCACGTTTTTATAAAATGTAATTATAGATCCCGCTCTACTGAGTCTTCATTTTATTTTTTTTCTGTACTTAATTATTTAAGTATTCAAGTATGATGTATGTTAGTATATGTATAGTTAGGAATACCCTCAGGGAGTTAAAATATTAAAGCGAAATAAAAAATCTACTTAGATACAGGTTTAGAATGTTAGTTTTTGTTGTGTTCGTCGTCCATGTACCTTTTGAGAGCAATATGATTCAATATAAAGCGTATTAAAAGTAATTGTGATCCTAGATTGGTGCAATATAAATAAAAACAATAACTAATGAATATCTTTAAAAAAAAAATAAGAAAAATACACATTCGTCATAGTTTGTAAAAATATGTTTAAATTATTAAAAATAAAACAAAATCTTTTTTTGGCACTAAATAAATGTTACAAAGTTAATCTTGTACATAATATTCAAAATATAAAAGTTACTATTATTGACTTAATTAACATAAATATAGCAAGTCGTGGGATAAAATATACTATAACTTTCAAGTTTCTCTGCCTCTTAGGAAAACTACACCAAGAATTGAAAAAACAAACTTCCTAAAATAACAGCTATTTTTGGAGTTCAATTTCCTGCTTAAAAAATATGTTTTTTGGAACTTATAATACAGGTTTACTATCCGTCCAAAAATTGTTTGATGAAAAAACACGAATTATATTTTAAAATTATATATTTCTCGTAGATATCACTTCATAGTCTAATACTTAAAACATATTATATAACTATAATAAAACTTGTAATCGTGCTTCAAGAAATAACAGGGTTAAAGTATATAAAATAAGAAATAAAATGTTATTATCTTATACATAATTTGTATATTATTATATTATTACATAATTACTGGTACGATTGAGACATTAAATCGAACATTTCAAGTTAACTATCAATAGTTTAAAAAATATATATTATTACACAGTAGTATGTAGTAAAAAAGTGGGTTTATGCGAGGACTGACGACGTGCTTGAAACACTTATTTCTTTTGTTCGTCTTTTTGAGTTGTTGTATAAATTTTTATGTACATATATATATAGGTATATATCCTGCTGCCAACCCGATTAAAGACGAGCGCCCTTTATAGAATGATAGAATGATAAGCCGCTCGCGTCGTAGTCGTTTTTTCGTTTAAGTTTTTGAGGTTTTGAACGGATGCTTTCAAAATCGTTCGTGTACATTATATGTTTATATACATAGTGTAAATAATACCACCGTAGATCTTTTAAAATATTAAGATTAATTGTTTTTTTTTTTTTTTATATAATTAAACGAAAAATAATCATACAAATTTGTACAAACATTTATATATATGTATATATTTGTATATTAACCATAAGCGAACTTACGTAAGTTCGTTAATATTAATTTATCACAAAGACTACGGAAAAAAATAGTTCGAGCATGAACACTAATTATTAATATTGCATTATCATTCCCTAAATATATTATAATACGTGCCATTTAATCCTCAGGTGGCTCGCCATTGTTTTTTAGCAAGTCCGACGTATTTAACTATCACTCGACGCATATGCACATACAACCACCACCTCCACCACTGCTGATCAACAAAGACAACGGACATCAGGATGGTAAGTTTGTGTACTTTATGAAATATATGATTATCCTTTTTTTTTTTTTTTTTTAGACTTTGAGTGAAACCATGAATGTAATGGTTTTATGTAAGATGTGTGTTTTATTTTTATTTTTTGTATTATAAACACGATTTTTTTTATAGTAATATTTTTATTATTTATTAACACACAATATAACGCATAAAGAATTAAATCAATAAAAAAAATGTTGTTATTTATTTTGCTTATGAGGATTGCTCTAAACATTACAACCTTAAAGATTTTTGATAGGAAATTTCACCTTATTGGTAATTTAATGAAAGCTATTTCATGAATTTCTAAACAGTTTTTTTAATAAAATAATATATATAGGCGTGTGCAGACCTGTATTTCAGAGGGTGCCTACAATACTTTTGGACGCTATATTAACAAAACGTATTGGTATATTTAATAAATTATAATGTATAAATAATTAAATAAACATTATTTTAATTTTTTATTTAATATTGTAGTATATTATTCCCAATGAATATATTTTCCTTGAATCTCGTATATTTTTTTCATATAGTTTCAATTATTTGTGGTTTGTATTTTTGTAGTCAATTGTAGCTGTTATATCATCATAATAATATTTTGCCCAAAATTTAGAAAATTTAGTTTTATTTTTTCTAAAAAAAAGTATTATTCATTTTATCAAATATTTCAAAAGAATAAATTACTTTTAATTTGAGAAATATAAGTTAAAATAGAAACCCCTTACTCTTAAATTTAAATTGTAGGACCTTAGTTACAACCATCCTGGAGGTGCACGAGCATACTCGGCACACCAATACAATCGCCTATGCTAATATATATATTAAAGAACTGATGATAATTATAAAAATATATTTACGGTATACTGGTTGCAGCAATATTGAATTTTTGTTTGCACGTAAGTTAATAAGTTATAATTGTTAAGGCTTGAAATTGACACTGAACATTTATATTACCGTTGATTCAAAAGATACATTTTTTTAAATAAATTTCTATTTTTAATAGCTATTTAAAAGTATTAGAAAATGTCATGTTTTTTTTTCCGTAAAATAACGATAAAAATATTTCGGTTTGACGTAAAGTTTTGATAATTTAAAACAAAATTTATTAATTACTTTTAAAAAATTAGGTATAGATTGTACATTAAACACGAAAACTACTCGTGAGAAAGTTTTGCGCATGATTACAGTTGCGTTTATAATATTAAATCAGCGATGTTGTCATCGTTGTCATACAGGCGGAGGAGTCTCGGAATCATCGGTCGCGTCCTCGGGACACGAAATGAGCAGTGGTGAAGGATACGCTGGAAGCACCGTTCCACCACAGCCCCAACGACGGGGTGCGTTACAGTTATGGCAGTTTCTGGTCACGTTGCTGGAGGACCCGAACAACGCATCGTGCATCATGTGGACCGGAAGGGGAATGGAGTTTAAACTAGTCGAACCGGAAGAGGTATGAAAAGATGACAGTTGAAATTTGTGGCATGTGATAGTGTACACGTATTAAACATACACACACACACACACACACACACACACACACGCACGCACGCACATATATATAAACAGGTAATAAATTTAGGTTTTTTTCATTATTTTTTCGGAATATCTCATTTTACAAACAACTCTCGAACTATTTCTATTCATCATCAAAACCTTGCTTCTCGGAACGTCTCTTAAAGTTTCCGCTTCATTTTTGATTGAATCCTTTCACCTTGTTTTCGGTCTTTCTAGTGGTATTTTTCTCATCGAGTTCTATTCCAGGACTGCACACTTAAGTAGTAAGTTTTGACTTCTCGGTGCGTTCGTTACCAAGACTGCGGTGTCTTGCCTTTTACGTGGTCTCCGAAATACTTTTGTGGCCGCATACGTACAAAATACATCATTCTGCGTACATGTGTTTTGCATTTTAATAGTTTGATTTTTCGGGGTACACAGGTGGCTAGGAGATGGGGTTTGCAGAAGAACAGACCAGCCATGAACTACGACAAATTGAGCCGGTCACTCAGATATTACTACGAGAAGGGTATAATGCAGAAAGTAGCTGGTGAGTGTAACATGTCTTATCATAATAAATCAGTATGCAATTTTTTTTTTTGCATATGATTAGTATGCAGTTCATAAGTAGAGACGAACCGGTGATGCATCAAAACGCCCATGATACATATTCACACTCGTGCGCGGGCGCTATTGTTATCGTAATTCTCGGTGGAACAGCCATTTCGTAATCTCGTGATTTACATTAATGCATTTCCAATACAATTAACTACGCAATCTTCCAACTTCCCAACAGTTAATAAATTCGAACATGTATATAAAATATAAAAAAAATTTACACGTAATATCCCGTTTATCTTTAATTCTTAATATATTTATATTGAATGTATTCTCGAGTTCGAAAAGAAATCGCTGGAGGAAATGAAAACAACAAATTGATTTATCGGAAGTCCTATTTATAATTCATAACATTAAAATTACTGTGGTAACTGGAAACACTGATGAAGCATTTTAATACGCGCGTAATATTTTAAAAATATTTTTTTTATTATTTCATTAAATCCAATTTTTTTCATAAAATGAAAAAACATAATTATTAACAGCAAATGTTTCCGTCCTATTATCGAACACCCGTTTCCTCCCAGATTAACGATTTTTAATGTAATAATATAACTACTGGGACATTTTAATTTCTCAGCCGTTAAAAAAAAAAAAAAAAAATTAAATCTTCGTTTATATTTTTCCTATAATGTGTAATGCTACATATTACTGCACGATAACAATTCAAAGTTATCGTCAGGACGGTCGTGATTTAAATCGATATAAATGTATTCTTGCACAAAGTATAGGGAATACTGCACGAAGGATATTCGATAAAAATTCAATATTCTCAAAACAATAATATAAAAAAAAAAAAATTAATAATACATTCCGATCGTTGTTATAACACACGTCGTCGTTACGATCGTTACTGTACGCACAGCTCATGATCGTGTCCGACGCCCGCGGCGTGTGCCTGCACGACTACAATGCAACTTAACGCTGCGCCGATGTTGTTAATACGAAGCGTTATGCAAACATGCTCGCGGAGTATCGATGTGAACAAACGGGGGAGAAAAAAAAAAAAACACCAACGAAACCGAACGTCGTCGCGTCTACGGAATCCGTGTGCTTAGGCCGTAGAGCGTTAAGCTACGTTCGGGTGATCTGATTTTCGTTGACGTTGTACTGCGGCAAAAAAGATTTCCGACGCCGTTGGTGGACCGCGGCCAAAAGCGTCCAAGCTCAAGTCGACGACTACAGCTGGACAGCTTGCCCGCAACGCATCGGTGAGAAAAACGTCCGCGTCCTTTCCCGCACTGATGTACGCTGCATAAACCGTGCACACAGGCGGTTTGACGTTTTTTGGTTAGCGGTTCAAGCGTAGTTTTTACCACCCAACCACCACGTACAAAAACTTTCTTCTTCTTCTTTCTCAGCTTATCGGCCCCGTTAAGTGCTATCGCTGCCATCACAAAACCTCTCAGTTTCTCTCTATCATACGCATCGTCAAAAGATGACTCTCCTTCTGTATTGTTGAAATCTTGAGCTATAACGTCCGCCCATCGGGTCCTTGGTAATTTTACCTATCTAATTTTTAGATACCGCTGCCAGATGCCAAGACCAAGTACACCCGTCTGTTAAAATGACATCCGTCCCAAAATTTTTGGCGGTTCAGTGAACCACAAAATTCATGATCAAGCCGCCTCTGACTGTGCACGTACGATACGGATCGTACCGTCGCGATAATAATAAATAATAATGATATTGTTATTATTATTATTATTAATTATTGGCGTTTTGAGCAGTAGTAACTCGCGACGGTCGGACGCCCGCGGCGTGTATGCGCTCGATTACGCGCGCGTGCGCCGGTGTTTGTCGGACATAATAATGTAATATCACAACGGCGGCGAAAAGGCAGAGCGAACGTCGTTGTTGGCCGTGTACACTTGGACGACCGTGTATCGCCGCCGAGTGTTTGTATTACATGTAATGATAATAATAATAATAATAATAATAATAACAACAACAACGATACTTGCGCAGGCATATATGTATAGGGGCAGAGGGGAGGAGCGTGTAGGCGAGTGAGCAAAACACGCGAGTGGGCGTTTGTGTGCATACACCGCGTTCGTGTTGTTGTTTGTTATTGACTGATATCATGACGGTTGCCCGTGTTTAACTGTTTGCCAGGCGAACGGTACGTTTACAAATTTGTTTGCGACCCCGAGGCGCTGTTCAACATGGCGGCCACCTACGATTACGCAGCCGTCTCCGACACGTCCGGAGGGCCCAACGGAACCTCCGCCGCGGCCGCCGGTTCTGCTCCTGCCCCGAATGTGGCTCATAACCACCATCATCACCACCACCATCATCACCAGCAACTGGCCACCAGGTACGCAGCAGCGGCCGCTGCTGCTGCGGCTGCTGCCGCCGCGGCCGCAGCTGCGGCCAACATGCACACGGGCGGCTCGGCTTACGGCGGATCGTTACCACCACCGCCGCCGCCGCCGCCACCGCCACCGCCGCCACCGCCGCCGGCCGCAACCGGTGGCGCGATCGACGAAGACGGCGGCTACGGGTGCAATTACGGTGGTGATAATTCGATCGTGACCGAGGTGACCACGGGAGTGGCGGCGGCCAGCGTGGTGACCACTACGTCTTCGTCCTTGTCGTCTTTGTCATCCCTGTCGTCCGCGTCATCCTCGTCGTCTTCATCATCGTCAGCGTCATCGTCGTCGTCGTCGTCGTCCTCGTCGTCCTCGTCATCCACATCGCCGTCGGCCGATCGTGGTATTAAGGCCGAACATACAAGAGACGACGATGATTGTAAGCCAGTGGCGTTGGCGGCCGGAAGACGACACCAACATCACCATCAACACCTCCAACACCACCACCAACAGCAAAGAGGAGAGTCCATCATCGACCTTCAACACAATCACAATCATCATCACCAAGAACACCACCACCATCAACAACAACAACAACAACAACAACAACAACAACAACAACAACAACAACAACAACTACAACAACAACAGCATCAACAGCATCAGCAGCAGCAGCAGCAGCAACAACTGCAACAACATCAACATAGAAATGAAATGGGTGTCGATCACCAACATCACCACCATCACCCGTCCGTGGTCTCTGCCGCCACTACACCAACCGAAGGGGGTTACTGGTCGGCCGGAGTCTTCGTCCGATAGTATTACCGTACAATCGGCACAGCTTGTAGGTATTCGCGTGTTTGCTTATGCACATAATATGTATTTTTGTACAAACATAGACTATATATATTTATGTATATTTTCGTCGTGAGATTATTAACAGAAGTTATGAAGTACTCGTGTCGATTACCGAGTTAGGCGTAGAAGGAAATAGCAAAAATTACCGAGCGAGAATGTATTTTTTCTGTATCTCGAGGAACATAAAAATTGTAACTAGTTTACGTTTTCCGAAAAAAATATTTTTTTTTTTTCAACTGAAACAAAAAAAATAAGTAGAAGTAAATAAATCAATCACTCAATCATCTGTACAGAAAATGGTAGACAGTGATATAAGCGTAAACCTTAAATATGTCAAACAAACCATAAATAAACCACTTATTTACAGGTTAATTGTTCCAGGCGATAAAACGAATATGTTTTGAAAAACATAGTTAGTTATACCAAGATTAAAGTCGATAATGCTATAATTACCGTAACGAGTATAAAATAATCGTTGCTACACGAAATTTGAAACTGTCACGCAAACGAAGACATTACACACAATTTGTATGATCATGTAGGTAGTATAGGTAGTTTTACACGTGGTTTGTTACAGTAATCGTGTCTCATCCAGGGACGGATTGACACAACATTTAGGCCCCGACAATTTGTTTAGAATGACCCCGGCTTAGTTAATTAAGAGGTCCAAAACGTTTGACTCTATTTAACGTATTATTACCGATACTTAATATTAGTGCTTACTGAATATGGATAACAGCATGGTCTGTAGAACCATTATTAATCAATATAAATATAATACTAAAGCATAGGTCAAATAAAATAAACTATTAAAAAATTAATAATATTGCACTTACTTAGTATAATATAACATGTACTAAAATGTAATATTGTGTGCTACTATTGTACTTAGTTCCTTGCATTGATCAGCATTGTACCGTGTAATTATAAAGTATACTTACAATACTATTTATTCGACTATAGTCAGCTATTCAACAAACAATTAATTCAATGTTAGAAATTTAGTGAACATTTCAGAAAATTGGGTTGGTTAGAAAATGTAAAATATAAATTTTCCTCATGAATCGTAGTTCGATCTCCTTGCAATGATGAATGATATATATTTATGTATAATATGTATTTGTATTTTATAAACAAAAAAATATTTACGAATACACCCGAAGCGTTAAAAAGGATTCTCAAGATCCCGCGTACTCCCGGCAATGATGGATACTGACATCAGTACTCACAGGATGAAGGAAATTCTACTTATCTTGGTATCTTCATAATGTTTTCCGCCGTAAAAAAAAAAAAAGTAGAAAAATATTGCAAGTGAAATGGTATTATGACCAGTCAGTAGTCTGTATCATGGACCGTGTCGTAGCCAGAAATTATTTTTTTTGTGAGAGAGGGGGGTTAAATTTTCTATATAAGTACTACATTGTTTGTTTTAATAAGTCGATTAAACAAATGTTAAAAAATATAAAATGTGTTGTTATCTAGTTTATTGAAACTGTGAATACTGTTTAATGATCACATAACAACTACGTCTTAAAACTATTGTGTATTTTACAAAATAAGAAAGACATTTCGTGAGGAGGGGGTTTATAACCCACTAACCGCCTCTGACTACGCCTCTGATCGTGGACACGTATCACATTGATATTACTGCAGACATTACTACACGCTTGCGCATTTACATTACATCCGAAAATGATATTTTTTTTGAATTGCGCCACGCGTTGATGCTTAGCAAAGGGTTCGAAGTGCGTGCGCGGTTTGCTAACAACAGGTGTACCCGATAACTAGAGCTAGGATTTTAATGACCTAAAAAATACACAAAAACGCACTAAAAAAAAATGCAAAAATGACCTAAAAACTCTAAAAAATGAACTTAAAAAATTACCAAAAAATGTACTTAGATGAGTGAAAAAAATTTATTTTTAGAATATTAATTAATAATTATGATTTATGAATAAAAGAGGTATACATTTGACTTGTGAATTTAACTGCTTCCTGGTATAATTATTCTGAAAAATCAATAAAATCATAAATTAAAATAATTTAATGAAAAATATATCATATTTTTTTTACCTGTACACATATTATTGCATTGCACAATTAGATGATTCCTAAGGTTTTCAAACAGGAAGCTGCGACGGCGGTCAGATAAAATGTTTTTATATGAAAAAAACTTCGTTCGACGTCCACAGAAGTAACAGGAGCATATTTGAAATGAACCATATCATTTAAAGTTAGGTCTTCCGGAATACCCTCTCTAACATACTTGTTATATTTTCACCGTCCAGAATATCAGATATATTTTTTAAAACTTTGAATCCATTATTATTCATCAAAACATTTTTCAGTTTGTTTGATATTTTTTCTCCGATTACATTAGGAGCAAGGTACATTGTAGTTTCAATTTGTTTTATTTTATTAATAGATTCTGAGAATAAGATTCCAGAATTCTCCAGATTTTTTATTTCTGAAGGAATGAAACCAAAATTAGATTTTATATAAATTAGATTGGCCTCTAAACTTGATTTAGACATAAGTTCTTTTGCTTCTTTTATAGTAGTCGATCATCATGATTTAATTCAAGTACAACTTTTTTTACATAAAAAAAATTCTCACAATAGTAATTTACAGCATTTAGTCAGGTTCCCCATCGTGTGATTACGGGTTCGAGTGGTTATGGAATACCTGGAGCAAGAGTTTTAAACATTTGTGTACTATATGGTGATTTTAAAAATATTATTTTTACGCAACTTATAAGTTTATTGACACCTTGAAAATTTGATCTTATTTCTTCCTCAACTCTATGAATTGCATGCGCCACACAGGTTACGTGCACCATTTTTGAATATAAAGTACAAATAGCTCTTCCTGCTTTCACCATATATGGGGCAGCATCAGGTACAAAAATAAGGACATTATCGTGTTTTATTCCTTCAGGCCATAATGTAAACATGGCTTTATCGAACGCTTTTGCAATGGTTGAATGATTTGTTTTTTCCAAGACATCAGAATATAATAAAAATATTTTTCCTGAATTTTCTGCTTCCAGGGTACCAATAACTATATTTACTACATAACGGCCTTCAACGTCTGTTGTTTCATCTACACTAACCCAAATTTTTTTATCGCCTACATAGTGTCTAATATTTCGTATTGTATTTAAATAGCATTTTTCAACATAATTTTTACGCAATGTAGACTCGTCTGGGATTTTAAATTTTATATTTTTTTTCTAAAAAATTTCTAAAATTCGTATTATTTAATTTAGCAAGTGGAATATTAGCTACTAATGTTTCATAAAGCTCTAAATTAAATGACGATTGATAACTATTATTTGTTAAATTAGATAATAGTACTTGATTATTTTGTTTCACTTCATTCATTCACCACAAGCATGCTTATCTCGACTGATGTGTTGAATTGTAAATTTCTTTTCGGAAGCCACTGTAACATTACAAACTTTACAGAAAAGCATCATACCGTCCATAGAAAAAATATCGGCACCAAACTCACTCACAAAATTACGTAAACGGCTTCCTAATGTTGACTTAATTTTTGGCATTTTTTAAGATTTTTAAAGTTTTAATATGAGTCGTAATATTATTTGTTTAGTATTGTGTATAGATCGGTGTAGAACCATATAGGTACATGTCATATTCACTACTAAAGCTACTATTGTATACCTATATAGTTTTGAATTCGATCGATATGTAATCTTATCTTACTTACTCTTATATTACTTTTTCAGTATCAATGGACTGAAGTAGGAAATTGCCTATAGCTATTAATTGGAATTCCCTTTACGCATTAAAAAAGCTTAAAATAAATAAAAATTAGTTAAAATACACAAAATGAACGTAATATTTGTAATATTATGTAAAAATGACCTTAAAAATGCAATAAAATGCATTTAACACAAAAAATGCAAAAAATGCAAAAGAATGCAAAATAAAAATTACATATTCTAAATTGTTATATCACGAAACAAATTTAGTTTTTGGTTAGAATTGTATAGCACTTAAAGAAAAAAAATACAAAAGTCACCAAAATCCTAGCTCTACCGATAACCAATGTATTTTTTATACTTTATCAACCGTGTCATGATTTTGCGACCATATCGTGTTTTCAAACACAATACCGGTCGTTAAATGTAATTTATGGTCGAAATAGATTAGATAATTTCGTTCTATCAACCAAACAAATGATCGTCAATAATTTATTCGCGGTAATGATATTTTATTTTTTATTTGTCCTTAACCACGTTTGGAGTACAGACAGCAAAGCTAGCTAAACGAGACTCGTGTTCTTACGAAAATCCTGGTTTAAATGGCCCACAGTTAATCAGAGATATCCGTTGCGGAATAAATGAGACATTATTATAGACCGAAATCACTCAACATATTTACATATTTTGGTTTTTTAAATACACATTAATCCGAGTCCTGCTCACTCAATATATCGTCAAACACGTCGAAATAGAACAGCCGTAGGTACCTACTACAATATAGCGGACGTGAGGAAACCGCGCACGCAGTTTGGTCGCGACGTATTTTTTTATTTTTGTTGTTGTTTCTGAATACGGCGATTCGTATGCATCCCTTATTTCTTACCCTTTGATATCTTGTTTGTATCGTTTTTTGCTTGCGCGCTTCACTATGTATTTTTGTGTGATTATATTATTGGAGGGTCGTTTACAGTAGCAGTGGGTGAATAACATTTATGGGAAGACTTAACTTTAGTGTATAACTATCGAGTGGATTTGCGAATTTGACTCCATAAGATAATTTATTTAAAATACTAAGAAAAAGTATAGTTTCTCCTACAGTATTATGATAGAATTAGGTATGTATAGAACTACAACCTTTATCGTAACCATTGAGCCAAGTAAATTTGTTATACCAACTACTTTGAAATGAACGAGTCAATTTTACGTCTTTATATTCGATTGATTAATGTGAACGGGTTTTTTTTGTTTTTGAACTTTAATTTTTCGTTATACGTCAATGAATGAAAGCCGTTGTTCAATAATTCATCTCTAACGTACAATGTATTGATGCCATAATTGAAATATAATATTTAATTAAATACGCGGTTAATTTACGACCCGTCACACAGTGGTATGAAATCAATTCTAGCACGTCAAAATTGTTATTTTAGTGAATTAATTTTTATTTGTGAAAAAAAAGTACGACAACTTTAATTCTTTTTTTTTTATTTCCATTCGTTATAACGATTTGTGTAGTTGAGTTTAAAATTTTACCTAATATATTATTTTATTCAGTGGTGTATTGGTAAATATATTTAATGGTATGCGCATTAAAAAAATATAGATATAACCTCAAAAAATTTCTTTTCCTCTACGTTCCAATAAATTAAATTAATCATTAGCATGATTATAACTTCAAATAATACTATAAAATACAACACCACAAGGTATACATTTGCCACGCGTTTAAATTGCATGATTGCAGATTTAAGAACTACGGACTGAATGTTCATAATCCATATTATATTTAATAATATATTATTATATTATATTTATATTATATTTAATAATATATTATTATATTATTCAAAATTTTATTTACTAAATTGAACTTAAAATACATTAAACACTGTAATCCTCAACAGATAAATATTTCATTTAAACTTCATGGTTTAAAACAATTTTTTCCAATGAACTAGTATTAAATTTTGGTTTTATTTTAGAAGCGTGAAATAATATTTTACATTAGGTGTACGCCGAAAATCGAAAAATCTACGGATGGTTATACGGCGTATACCCGCGTATACGTACCAATACACCCCTCATATATAATTTATATTATTATCGTTGATTATTATGTTATTATGTTGATGAAACAATGAATTATGACAAAACAAAATAACTTACTGTAATAGTAAAAACTTTCAGATCAACAGCTTTTACCCATTCGGTGAATATCAATACGATAAACTAAGCATGTCTTACAATTCTTAATTGCTATTCGACATTGGTTGCGCGTCATGTGCCATGAAATTTTGATTGCAATTAAAATCGCATCAGTAGGTACGATGAGATGAACATTTTGGTACCATAACGATGTGTGTTTATTATATGCAAAGAATATAAAATATTAGCGTAGGTAGTTATATTTATTTGTTCGTTTGGTCGTGACACACAATATGTGACGCCGTGTATGCGGTACGGACACATACAATACAATACACGAGTTAGGTTAAATTTAAATGCAGTGAAACCTCTAAATAGTGGATATTTGCATTGCAAAATGTCCATCGCAACGAGCCGAAATCAGAAAAAAATTACAAAGCGCAACAAAAAAACCTGCAATATTATTGCAGTGTACTGTTATGTGTGATATTAATTGTTTATTTTAATATTACAATTTATATTCATTTTTATTCAAATGTATTATTCATTGTCTATGTCTATGGATACGTACTAAAAAAAAAGGGTGTTTATGTTTTTGTACAGTTAAAATGTTTCCATTTATGTAATAGAAAAACCATTACGACAGTAAAATGTAAACGATAAATATTTTATTTTTAACACTTAAAATTTTCGATATGTAATACATACATATGCATATGTTATGTTCAACTATGAGAGGTTATTACCCTAATTATTGTACATACATTTTCGCCAACGAATTTAAAATTGTCCACTATTGAGAGGTGTCCATTTATAGAGGCTTCACTGTACACACTTACACATACACACACATCCATCAGAATAAGACTTTTAACATGTACAAATGTGTGTTTTAAATGCAATAAACTTAAGTATTGAAAACCAGTAGTGGTGTTCTATCATTTGCACTCAATGCCAGCCTGTTATCTGTCAAAATCCATAATTCAACATCCATCTGTTAGTATGTATTATTAATTAACTGGTTATATAATTTATTATCAGTATTCGTTAATGTTGCTGTCGTTTTCTCAAAGTACTGATTTGTAATTGAAAATAAAATGAAAAAAAAAAAGTTTTATCAATTTGTTCTTTATTTTCAACTCAATATATACAACTATATATATCAACTTATTTATGTATATATATATATAAATTGTTTTTACTAAATCGATCAAGATACGGACATAGTTTCAACAAAAAATAAAAATGATATATATAATTAATTCAATAACATAAGTAAGTATATTATATTTATGGATAGTAGAATCAGTTTAACATAGTAATAATAATAATATTAATAATAATAATAATAATAATAATAATAATAAAAAAAAATCCTTTAACAGATAAAGACTAAAGTTAAATAGAAACTATTAATAGTACTTACACATAAAAATAATATTATGATAACAGTATTTAAAGCAAATTTGTAATGAAAAACTTAATTAAATACAAAATTAAAATTCGTAATGGTATAGAATTACAAAAATATTAGTTATATTTTTCTGGTCTTCAAAGAAGTCAATTTTGTAGCAAAAATCAGTTGATTTTACTTTTAATACACAATATAGGTAAGGAATAAAATTAAGGCACATTTATTTGAACATTTCAATTAAATATTAAACATCAAATTAATTTATACTTAAAAAATGTGATCAATTAGATAAATATTAATAATTTGGCCACTAGAATAAGCAGACATTTAAAAAAATTTGTTCAACTGAATGGCACCCACTCATAATTTTAGTGCAAATTAAAAAAATTTCAGACTTTTGTTGTTTGTTAAAATCACACTTCGTACGTAAAATATACAAATTAAATTACGTTTTATCATTACATTATCCTTGATGAAAACTACAATTTATAATTTTATTTTTAAAATAATAATAACAAACAACTGAGTTTATTTATACGTAAAATATATATTATTAATATTAAAAAAAAAAATAAAAAAAAAAAATTAAGACTTAACAACCAATAAAAATAAAAATAAATTACTGTCAATCAGTCCATCAATTGAAAAAACAAATTTATGAACATACTTTAAATTTCTTTATATAATATACAATTCAATGAGATAAAATTATGGTAAGCTTTAGAACTTAACTGCATCCGATCAAATTATCTTTAAAATCTGACCGGATACTGTCGTTGTCACCGTAGTGCATCCACATTGAAGTGACCACCACCATTGGACATTCTATGATCACCTCCGTTAGACATCCTATGATCAGTGCCATTAGACATTCTGTGATCTCCATTTGACATTCTGAGGTCACCTCCATTTGACATTCTATGGTCGCCAGCTACTGATGGTTTTTTATAAAGTTCAAATGCGCTTCCTCGTTGGTCTCGATGTTGTGTAAGATCCAGTGTGTTTGGATCTCTATGATGTTTGTAATACATATGACTACGATCCATCTGCTGGGATGGCTGTTGTCCATTACCACCACGACGATCATACCCTCTGTCTAAGCTACTACCATGGCCTGAATCGGCTGTGTTCACATCTGTTGATTCCGATGAGTACTTACTGGGTGATGATGGCATCTATATAAATAAGATTTAAAATTGGATAAGTAAAAATACATTTTAAAAAACTTATGTCAAAAGCACTCACTCCATTGGACATGTGTGATGAATATGTACTGTCAGCCATGCTGAATGATTTTGAGTGCTGAAAACCATTTGGTGGTGGTGGTTGATAATACTGCTGTTGTTGCTGCTGCTGCACTGGGGGGCGGTAGTTTTTAGGTTTTGGTGGTGGGACAGGTTTATAGGGTTGTTGCTGTGGAGGTGATTTTGGCAATGGAAGTGGTTTACTAGTAGCATACTCAATCATACCTCCAGAGGTACCACCAGGAGGTCTATAAACAAACAAGGTACTAAGTAAACAATTCTACATATACACTAATATAGTATTTAATAAGCAATAACTATTAAAAAAGCGAGGACTAATCTATACAATCCAATTCATACAATATATCTTTTGTATGAATAGGATATATCATTTATTGGGTCGATTATATTCAAGTTCCTATAAAACTGTAATGTTTTTAACTTTGAAATTGTCCTAAAACCCATAAATGAGATAATTTAACATATTTTTTTAGTATTTAAAAGATAAGATTTACTAACCTGTATTTAGGATAATCTGATATTTTTGTGTCAACTGGTTGTTGAGTTGACCTAGTAAATCTATAAGGATCATGATGTCTTCCTAGAGTGTTATTACTGCCCGGTTTAAGATCATCTTGTGAGTTTGAACACAAAGTTGTTGATAAATTTGCACTACCGTTGCTGCCATTATTCATACGTACACCGTAACTGTCATATGATGACACACTGTCATAACTATTGTGCATATCATAGAGCTAGAAGAAAAATTTGTAGTTTCAATAAGTTTCAATTAATATTATTTAGTATTATCATACTTGTTTGCTTGTGCTAGTGTGGGTTCTTTGATGATGAGGAGTTGCATTTATATAATTTGGTATATCATCAACACCATTTGGACTAAATAATCTATCCGTGGCTGATCTTTGGCTATTACCTCGATTTCCATGTAATGGTTTTGTGTTTCTATCAACACGAGGAGGTAAATCTGGAGGTCCATTACCATTTACTATTAATGTTGTATGAGTAGGAGGTCCTGTCATACGCATTGTTTGAGGAGGCTCATAACTTGCCTATTAAAATTAATTAATTGAGTTAAATAAATTGCTACAATACAAATAATACATTTCAACAACAATTAATTAATTTGTTTTAGTATAAATAGTACATTAAATTAAACATACTTGTTTGAACACTGATGGTGAATATGGTGGAGGTGGGTTGTAATTAGGAATGGCAGAATCGTCTTGAGTTGTAATACTTGGATCGCTTGAACTTTTCACTAATCTTGAGCCAATAGCAGATGGACTAGCCGTAGCAGTAGATATAGGAGATGCTAATGTTGTATTACTAGTTTCCATATCGCTTTCAGGAGATGATGCATATGACAAGCGTAAGGAGGTCATCGGGAATAACAGGTCATCAGACAGATTTTCTTCAGGCTGAATACATAATGCATGCCACAAACACAAAACAACACGTTAGTAATTCACAAAACAATAATCAGTTAGTCAACAACACAAATTAGATAGTAAAAGTTAATAATGAATAAAATATTAACACATATTTAAATAGTTAAATGATCAATTAAATCTAATAAAATTCAATTTAAATATAAGTAAATAATATTTTATTATTTATTAATAAACTTGTAAACATAAAAATTACAAAAACAAAAAAAAAAAAAAAATCGCAAAATTTAGTTTTTAATTTATATTAATTATTAAAAATTAAAATGATTAATGAATAAAATCTACTTCGCATATATTATTTTTGTTGTTTAAAATGACAAAAGAATATAACCTAAATTTGAATGAAAATTGTTAATCATGCGGTATATATTATTATTTATAATAAAAGTGCACACAAGTGTAAAACTATAGTCATTAAATATAACCAAAAAAGTCATTTGGTTTTTTGGTATGTTCAATGTTACTAGAAATAACATAAGGATCACAAAATGGAAATGACATAGGAAGTAAATAAAGATCTGATAGGAAGTCTACAGTCTATAAATAATATTTTCAATTTCAAAATATTAAGATTTATTATTAAATGAAATATTGTATTTAAAGTATAACATACTTTTGTCTCGCTGACCCAAGTCGGTGAACTCTGATGTTTGTCAATCAGTTCTCTTAGTTTTCGATACCAAGCATCTCCTCCGTTAAGTGTTAGTGAAGATGTAAATACATGTGACCATACTTTTTCCAACTTTTGACATTGTTCTAGTAGTTTCTTACTGCTTTTATGGGCAGTTCTATAAAATAACATCAATAAGTAAAAAATTTAAAAAAAAATGATTGATTACACATTACTTAGGTAACCCGGCACGAAGTTCTTTGATCACTTGTTTATTATCTGCACGCAGCATAATAACAATAGGATAGAACTGAGCATAGTTTAAACGATCAACAGCATTTGGAGTGACATCTAAAAGAGCATGTTTTCCTCGGTCCATAATATCACGAATAGCACTGAGTCGTATTATACCACTGATTTTTTTGCTTCCATCAGTAGTGTTGTTTTCAAGTTCTAATAAATTAAACATTGAAAATCAAATCAAAAACAAATAAAAATATAAAATTTAACACTCACGTGGAGATAAAAATTTATCAGGGAAATCCTTGGTAAGTTTTTCTCTAGCAATATCAGATATTGGTCCAAACAAAACAACTGGTCGTACAAACCCTGTATGACTTAATACTACTTTTTCATAAGCTGGGAACTTGCTTATACTATCTCCAAACACTACATCATCCCAATTTTCCTATGAAACCAATAAAAATAAAAGTAAATTTTTTAATATATTATTTATATAGTTTTTTTTACCTTGCTTAATGATTTTGATCGTCGATGATTGTTTTTTCGACGTCTAAAGAAACCTCCTTTATTTTCAGAAGCATTCATTTCTTTCTTTGTAGCATTAAACTGTGCTGTTGCTAATTCCTCAGCTCTTGCTTTATTTGGAATTATACCCTTTTGAACTTCTTGATTATTTCTACCTATGCGGAACACTTGCCAGGAACCTACAACACCATTATGTAAAGTATCCATTACATGGAATACATCTCCCTTGCAGAAGCTCATTTCGCCTTTGTTTGGTTGTTCATAATCAAAATGAGTCCTAAAAAAAAAAAATGTCCACTTGTGAATGCACTGAAGTATTATGCTTATTAAAAAATATATAAGCAAATTTTGGTAAAATTGAATTTATTGGTATTAAGAATTTTATTTTCGTGATCATCATATAGCTACTTTATTAAATTAACTAAAAATTAATAATATATTAATTCTAATTTTAAATTAGATAGAACTTATGGTTCAAAATCATTTAAATAAAAATTGGATTTAAACGGCCCAAAATAGTTTGTCATAATATAATTAGAACTATAAATATTTTAACTCTAATACTGTACTTATGCAAGAAACTGAATAATTTTGACTGAAAAATTTGTAAAAAGCTTTTTTGTTGTAAAAATATAATGATTTGGGTAAACCAGATGGCTATATAATATCCACAATTCAATGAAAATAAATAAATTTAACTATTAAGTTAAAATAGATAGTATCAGATGTATTATACTACATCTTTTAATATATTTTAGTCTTTAATTTATTTTTGTTTCAAAGAATTTACAAATTAAAACATTTTGTTTGATTTTTTAAAGAGTAAGTTAATTAGTGACGGTTTTTGTTTCAAATAACTATTTTTATTTGTATTAAGTCTTTAAACACAGTTAATTAGTTGAGTATTATTTACTTAATGTGGAATGAATCGCCTCGTTGATTATTCATAATTTGTTCATATTGATCACGACGGTGTTGAACAATTAAGTGTATTTGATCTTGAAGGCTCAACAAAAACAGCACAGCTTCTTCACGTGTCACCCCTTTCATATCCATATCGTTGACTTTCAATATTTTATCACCAGGCTGTAAGCCTTGAGTGAATGCAGGACTACCTGGTTGAACAGCCGTGACAAATATGCCAACTTCATTACCACCTGTTAATCGAATACCAACTGATCCTTCTTTTTGAAATGTAATAAAACGTGGATCAGGCCTGATAATAAAAATGCAAGTTAATGAAAATGCTTAAAATACAATTTATACTTGTTAATATTAATTGCTTACTTTAAATGCTTGGATCTTTGAGGTAAAGTATCTTCATAAAATTGTCTAGTTGTACTGTAATAGTCTGAAAAAATAAATATATACACTCAACTCATGTAGGTAATAATGATACTATTATTTAATTATTTTTCAATAAAAGTTACTAGACAGTTTACGTTTTTTAAAACTACCTTCAGGTCTTGGAGGTGGTGGTCGAGGAGGTTCTGAATGATCATCAACCCCACTTCTACTGCGACCATGGTTATATGTAGGTCCAAGATCACCATTATTTAAATTATTAGCTAAATAAAAAAAATTATAAATTATAAATAATAAATATTAACAACACTAAAAAAATAAATAAAAATAATAATAATTTACTAGATGTAATGTTATCCATGGCAGAAGTAGGCCTGTCTAATTGGCTCAAAGAAACAGAATCTAATAAAGGGTTACGAGATCGTCCACGAGGAGCCAAATTACTTTTAGCTTCTTCTAACATACTTCTACTAGGTGGTTGTACATACAGGTTTTGTGATGGATATGTTGATCCATTGATACCCTCCATATAGTTGTTATTTTCTAAATAAAAACAAAAGAAATATATTGCTAAAAACAAATAAAGAATAGAAACATTTCCTAGATATTTTACCTTTATTATGTAGAGATGTTGGTTCAGATGAACCAGAATATTGTAAACTTCCATTGGCACTACCTTCTCTACGTACAGTTAAACTTAGTTTGTCTTTAGCGGATTCAATAAGTCTTCTCGCTTCTTTCAGAGTCATACCATCCGTAACGGAATGGTTGTTAATCTTCAATAAAACATCACCTTCCTGTACACTATTATCACCACCTTTTGTACCTTCTTTAATGAATATTCTACTGCCCAAAACTATTCCAAAATCTATAAAATTGAAATGTATATAATGATAATAACAATAATAATAATAATTTATTTAACTCAAATAGAATACAAATAGAATACAAATAAAAAAACAAATAAGATAAGTAAGTATATGAATTGAGCTAATTATCCCTCTTTTTAAATATACTTGTGATGAGAGAGGGGCATTACTCAATATAAATATTTATATCATAAAATATTCAATTACCATCTTTTTTCCTAGTTTTAGTTAGATGAACACGCATTGTATGCGGTGTATTGGAAGGCAACACTAAACGACGTCTTAATGATAACGTAACATTTTCACCACATTCTCTTAACACAGCAACAGCTGTACCGTATTCAACATTATCTAAAGACACACCATTTGCAGTCATTATTCTATCATTCACCCTGTAAAAAATTGGTTATAATTAAATTAACAATACTTTTTAAGTATTAATAATAATATAAGAGTAATGTAGTATAGTATTAATAAAATGCTCACATTAGTTTTCCTTCGGCAGGACCAGATTTTAAGACATCAGATACAGCTATTGAAGGATCACCATTGGCAAAATGTGGGTTGTCCCTGCCACCGCTTACTGCAATACCAAATCCATAACCAGGTACGCGATTTAGGGTAACTTGATGGAATTCCCACACAATACGATCTCCATTCTATAAAAAATAAAAATCATAATTCATGTAGAAAAGCTTATTGTTATTGTTTGATTACGTGCAATCGTTTTCTAATAATCCTAATTAAATACTAACATTATTATAATATTTTATAGTTAAACATAAACAAATACCAATGTATATCATAATAAAATAGTACCTATTATAATATTACCTATAGTGTAATAAATAAGGAAATTGCACACATTCCAACAATTTTATCGTTAACAAAATGTGGACATAAATAAAATCTTTATACATAAAATAGTATAATTTGGATAAATAAAAGAGGAAAGTCACATATTAATTATTATAAAGTATATAGATTTAAAGTATAGATTGCTGTATTACTCTATCTAAACAACCTATTTTAAAATATGCACGAACGATGAACACGCACTCTCAACTGATATGTGACTTGTTTTTATCAATTATTTCACTCAAAAATGTCAATCCTCTGTAGTAGAAAGACGTAATGTATAATTATAATGGTTTTATTATTATGACGAATAAAACTCTACTTATATTTACCAATATAATAGAAAACAAAACTAAAATAATTAGGAAAAGGTCTATAAAATACACAAATATTATTCAGTAATAACGTTTTACATAAAGTAGCTTACTATTTTTTATTGTGACAAATTATTTAATAATCGTAAATTTTTCTTCTGTTAAAAAAAATCCCAGCGTATTGGTATACAAACGAACGGAATATTAAATATAATTTTCGAAAACGAGAATTACATATAATCAGGGTCGGCCCAAGCAAAAATAGTGCATTAGGCAAAATCAAATTATGCTGCTTCTAAAAAAAAAAAATTGAACACTTATTTTAACTTAGCACCTCCCTCTATTTTTTATGTGACATATCTACATAAAAACAATTATAATTTTTTATTTGTGTATAAAATTATATATAAAGACTTAAAAATGATTTCTATTACTATTACTCAAAACCCATCACTATCACGACTATCGTATATCACGGAAGTGATTGGGTGGTTATTTATATTTTTTGAATAATTGAAAATGCCCAGCGTAGACGTAGTAATATAAAGTAATATAATAAATTTAGACAATATTATTTTATTATATACGTAAGTGGTTATCACGAATGAATTAATTTAAAAAATTTTCTTATAAAACACCAATAGAACTAAAAAAATGTTCGAGTCAACTTTGAAAATGCCGCCCCTACTAAAGTGCTGCTTTAGGCAGGTGCCTAGCTCGCTTACACCTTGAGCCGGCCCTGCATATAATTCAAATTATACAAATTTTGAACATTTACATGACGTGATGGTCGATAAACAATTTGTTGTGTATACATTTCTTAAATCGACTCACGATTATTAAACGACAATTAGATCAAATACGCAGTCATGACAGGGCTGCGGGCGACCCGTATATTAGAGTAATATTACTCAGTGGGCCGAACAACTGCAATGATAAGCGGCAGTACGGGTCAATGAAGCATTATCGTCGATTAATCTAGTACGTTAATTTTTTTAAGATTTTCATGGGTACCGGTAGATTAGCTGAGTTTTACTTCTCTTGTGCCTATTGATACGTACGATTTTTTTGGAATAATCACTTGAAATTAGATTCAACTATTATAAATAAGTAAAATACATAAAAAATTATCTAAAAAAAAAATATAACTACATTTTGAAGAATTGTTAATCTGATAAGTTATAAACTGATAACAAAGACTTAGTTTATTATTATCTTAGTCTAAGAGTAATAGATTTTTTTCAAATATTCTAAAATCACTATTTGTTAGTATTCAGTAGTTATACAACAGTACATTTCTGATAATCAATTATTTTAGAACACAAGAAGAGAAACAAGAAAAGAAGATTAATCTAAATCTGTGTATCAACTAACGTATGACCAATTATAAAATATTTTATTTTTGACGTCAATACAATTTTATAATTAGCGATTTAACAACATTGTTATCGTACTAGTTGTCTCTTGAAAATATTCATGACATTAATATATGTACATACAAATATATCAAATACATTTTGAATGATTTAAATTTCATTTTTTATACAATAAATAGAAGTATTAATCGTTTGATTTTTGCACGATACGCCTTTGAAATGTAACCCAGGGATATTATTTTAATTTAATTTTTATTTTTATTAATTATTGTAATAACTTCATCAGTAAGCTGTTGAATATTTTTTAAAGAATAGATACTTTTTTTTTATATTGTTTTAATTTCTATTAAATGAATTGTAATTAATTGTTATTTTCTGTAATATAATTTTTATATGGGTCACAGATAATTTATTGAATATAGACGCCATACACAAGCATTATGCTTTATGCTAATTTACTTATAAAGTAGTTTGTAGTTTAAAAGTATTATAACCATCACGAAAAAATTGTTAAAAAATAAGCAATTGGCTACAAACTAAAAAAAAAAAAAAAAAAAAAACAGAAGTTGTGATGGTTGTATAGCCAATGATAATCATAATTAATTTAATAATGATTTATGATAGCTTTGGTGTGTACGAACATAAAACGCACTTTTTCCATTCGCTGTCCATGTATATGTTCTTATACTTCACCCGTCGTATAACTATTGATGACGATAATAATTAGCTTCATACGCTAACTTTCAAAAAATAGTTTAAAACATGGGAATATAAGTTAGTGTAATAAAAATTCAGTTTGTGCCATGGTTAGATGAACAATAATTAATAAACAATAAAAACAATAAATAACAATACATTTTTATTGCATGAATATTTAGAATATGCAAACTATTTTTTTCTACATACACACTAAGTATATGTATCTATAAACAAATACATTTTTTTTAAAAGGAAAAACATTAATAATTCATAACGAAATAGTTTATTTTTACTATACTGTTGTTATACACCTGTAACATTATACATATTATACATATTTTGATTGCAATACTTCTAACAAATTTTAGTTACTTATAACAGTATTAATGTTAAAATAATATTTTTTATTTTACTCGTCTACACGTCTACAAATACTTATACTTATAATTATACATATTTATGCATAAAAATTGTAAACTAAATAAACCAAATGTTATTACATATTATGAACGTATTCCATGAAAATGATGCGCATTCGAATAGGTCGATGAACCGCGATACGAGTAACAAAACTTGATTTACAAAAAAAAAAAAAAAAAAATGAAATTGGTCCAAATTATTTCTATCTATATAGATTTAAATAAATAGTATTAACAACCGGTTATAGGACTGAATTATTACAATATTATTATCGATACCATTTGACCTTTTGCACGAAAACGTTAAACGAAAACAAAATAAATAGTATTGCTTTTTTGACATCTAATTAACTATGTGAATTAAATGTTTGTATTTTTTTTACGTTACGAAAAAATAGTACTTTGAATTTATTTCGCCGACCAAATCAAAATTATTGGAACTATTAAACTGATAAAAGAGAACAGAATAATTTTTAACGGACTTTTTTATGTTATAAAAAATGTATCAAAAACATGTAGTTACGAACAATGTAACAAGTTACGAAAAAATTTAAAAACACGTATAGTATCTATTTGTACATCAAGTTTGAGACTAATGAAATATTTAAAAAAAAAAAAAAAAAACTAAACAGTAAACAACAATAATGAAGATTTTGTTATTACGCTACAAACAAATTAATTAAAACTTCAAACGTCTTTACTTTCTCAGTGATCAGTAAACAGGTTATGTTATGAGTACATTTCGCAGCAATCTTGTTTGTAGTCGATTCCAAGTCCGGTCTTAAATATAGTAAAAATAGTATTTACCTCATTCATATTTTATTTTATGTAATCCAGTTAACAGTTTTCGAATAGTAGTTTTGCACAGTGTATTGTTGCTTGTTAAAATAGTACCAAAGATAAACTATAAGAGTTTTCTGTAAATATTTCTTCTTATTTGCCATTGATCACGGAAAATAATGGACGAATTTAGGAGTAAAGTTCTTATTATTATAAAATATACACAACGACAAGTCCGAGTGACACAACACAAGAGAAACTACCACAGAAAAGAAATCGAAAAACTGTGAAAACAAGTCCGAAAGCCGATACTTGAACTAGTTTAAGTGTTGTTATGATCAAGAGTTAACAATTAGAGTAAGTTGACATTAAAAAAAAATGTAACCCAACTGTCCACAATGTTATTAAAAACGTATTTATACACTGAAAGATGTCATAACGATTTACATATTAATTGTAATGAAATTAATTTCCTAGATTTAATAAACAAATTAAAAATAAATATATATTGACTTATTCATACTTATTATTGCTTAATTAATTACATTATCAATAGGAAATGTTTCTCGGTCGCTAAGATATGATATTTTACAATGAAAACTATTTGTTAGTAGTGGCAATGGACATAAATAGATTTCAATCATTCTCCCATGAAGGCACAGAGGGTATATTATATATTACATGTTCTATTGACCGTGACAAAATTTTTATTGATAAATTATCGAACGTATTATAAACAACAATAATAGTATACACCCTACAGTGTAGTTATGATCTGTAATATTATAAAAAAAAAAGCGTTCGATAATTTTGATAAGCACGTTATTCTAACCCAAGAAATGTAAAATGGAGTAAATTACACATAAGAAGAGATTTGACAAAATTATCAATTTGATTATCATCTGAGATCCTGACATAAATTTGGTTGAACTAGAAATACGAGATGAACAATAAAACATTTTTAAAAACTAAATAATTATTACCTACGTACAACTACTAACTACATTGTTTTATAAAATGGATCGATTATGTAGTAGTTAGATGGATATTTGTTTCGTGGATGACAGTATAAAGCATAGTATAAAATAAGTATGAATATAAAGCCCTCGTATTTATTAGAATTCTTCTCGTATCAAAATACAACTGTACATAATTGTTTTTTTTTTTACTCAAACCAATTTTATTAAAACGAGAACAGGAGTTAAAACACGAA